CTTAATTTCAAAGGATTCAGGTTGTTCGGGTTTGATTTTGTTTATATTTATATCAAGATCTTTCACACAGAGTTTCATGGACAAATAGATGCAAAAAAGGCCACATTTCCCATTTAGGCCCATCGGCCTACAAACATATAGTTGCCCCAGTTTTATAAAGTGTCATAGGGTTTCTCCTACAAGTGCCTGTTAGTACTAGGGCCCACGCCACCGGGGGTGGGAGGGGAAGGAATGGATGCGGTCCCTCCACTTCTTTGCAAAGCAAGTAGTTTAAAAGCTGCAGTAAAAAGGCCTTGACCCCTGCTTTAGTTAGCCTTGCCCCCCCAATTTAAAATTCGTTGCGTAGACCCTGAGTGCTACGTATAAAAATGTTTCCATCGAAGAGGTACCAGAGGCACACGGTGAACCTCCACCTCAAACGTCAAGTGTCTTTTTCATGACTTATTATGCATCTTAATGTTTGTCAATAATTTTATGCTGAGGCCCTCGCTGTGGGCACCGCCTCCTTTTTTGCTTTAAGGAGAAGTAGCTGGGCCCCGCACGAGCACAAACAGGAAGAAAGTGAAAAAAATGCCTGTAAAAGCAACCTTCTATGACAGCTCAATTCATATTCGTATTGTGATTTTTGTTATCGTGATTTCTTTGTCTGCGATTTTTTGCGAATAAGCTCGAAAACAATATTTTTGACAACATTAACGTTGCCTAGGCCAGCGTCTTTACGAGTGCCGCAGCAAGTAAAATTTTTCAAAAATCTTAAAACCCCTTTTACCAAAACATTTTATAGCTCAAAACTTTCGAAATGAATATGACAAGCTGATACAGTATAGCTTACTTTTCAAATTTATGCCAATTTTCAAAATATTGGTTTTCCTTCGTCCGCCATGCAATTTCCCGTACTGAGCCCTTACGCGGGATCTTCCTTTTGCCAGTATTTCCACTTAAGTGATTTTGCTTCAGCTGAAAACAGCAAGTTAGATATCTAGCTCCTTCGGCGCTTGAATACCATTGCCGCAGTATAATGCTATTCACATGGAGGTTAGCAAAGTTAGTAACTTGTGCTCCTCCAAAGATGAACGTTCGGTGTCCGTATGCTCATGAAACAAAATTCCCTTTCCTCTGCAACCTATTTGAGGCTTGCCAGCTCTGAGCGTAAGCTAGACTGTACGAAACAGTATTGCAACTTGTTCTGTCCTATAATCATTTTCAAGAATAAACCGGCAATATCTTCATCCAAGTTTTTCTGCGGATTCGATTGTTCAGAACTTGCAGACAAATGATGTTAAACGCATGAATAAGCATGAGGAGGAGAATCTGGATTTCAATTGACAGGCAAGATGACACCGCGGCCATTTTCTTGACATGTGATGCTTGTAAATCGAATTGCTTGCTTGTTTTGTCGCCAAAGGGGATGGTAGAAAATGTTCTCATTAAGGCATGGATGGCCTGAAGTACATTGCTCCATATAAAATTATCCACGAACAGTATGAGTTTTCATGCCAATACCAAAGACGAATCCCAAATTTCCGATATCCGTACTGTGAATTGCGATTAATTTGATGTATTGATGACAAAATCCTCATCTGTTTTTGAAAATCCTCAATTGAATAAAGACATCCTTTCTGATTTTAAAACATACGACGATTGCAAATTTTTGTTGTTGTCAGCTGTTAGACTGGAACGCAACCTGCTCTTTTGTCATTTTCATGCTGTTGCAAAACAAGTTTGTAGGAGAGGCAGTTCTGGAATATCTTCGTATGGTATAGGATTATTGCTAGCTTTTCCGTTCAACGACGCTGGTCAACAGTGTTTTTACTTTAGCTGTTTATTGAATGGATAACTGGCTGTCATTGCTAAGAAATCGTATGGTTTCATTTCTTTGGAATCATCAGGTTTGGGCACTTTTCAGCTTTTTATTTCTGCATTGTGTTGGAAGCTGATCTTCTTTTGGAAAAGACCGCTTTTGCCGGCTTAAGTCGCATATTTGTTTCACGTTAACTCGATAACATTACCGTATGGCTTGTCTCAATATATCGACTATTGAGCATTTCAGAGTAAAGATATTTTTCATAGTTAAGTCATGCATAGTTTTTGCATCCTTGACTGCAATGGTTGATAAATTTGGGTAGAGAAGAAGCAACAATCATAAACAACGTAATTTCCTGTCAATTGCAATCTGCATAACTTTATCGAGTGACATTAAAATGAAAAGCCACAATATTTTTTGTATTTTCCATCGTTTTTTGCTGTTTTTGTATAATTGTATTCCTTTCCAAGTAATATTGAATCATATTCTCTTAATCAAAGCACAAATTGCCAACTGACAGATAACAGTTCAGATAACAGTACAATTTCGGCATATAATTATGTTGTAACAGGTTTCCTAGATATTTCAATAAAGCGTTTTCTCTAAAAACATCTCAAACTCAAGAAAGCTCACCTGGACGTCGATAAAGCTAGGTCAAAACAATTTACCATTTAAAAAGCTAAACTATTTATGACCTTTGCGTACATTTTAAGGCACATTGAAATTAGTCTGTTGGTTGCTGCAAGCTCAAAAATTTTCAGCCAACCTTACATATTTTGATGGTTAGTCTACTGAAATCCAGTTACATTGAATCCAACGGCATACATCAGGAATTGTCACCAATGTTGGTTGATTCCAAGAGGCAAATGTTTCTGCTTTTTTTCATATTTCTTAATTTTTTTGAACTTCCCCAATTTAAGTCACCTGCAATATTGAAATGTATCCTTTTAAATGCTATATCAATGCTCTTAACTTTTCACTCCCTTTATATATTTATTACAGTCAAATTCATTACAATTCGCTTCAGTTTTTTAATTTAATGCCACCTAAAAGTACAACTAAGTTTTCGACCCAAGATAAGAAACGCTTATTAACATTGGCCCGGTCAAAAGGTTATAGCATACAAAGAAGTAACGATCGGACGGAGACTAATACAAGCTATTCGTAATGCAAAAATGCCATTAGGACCTAGTTTTCGCTTCCTCTAACTCTTGTTTTTGTCTTACTGCCAGGAACTGTTTATTCAAACTGAATGCCGAATACTTGCCGCAATATAAATATTTGATATTAATAGTTTTTTAATATTTCAAAAATACTATTGAATCTAAATTGTAGATACTTACGAAAATAAAAATTTTGATAATAATAATAATTTATAATTGTCTTAATATTTCAATATATGTATTGAATGTTAATGGTCAATACTAACTGCAATAAAATGTTTGATAATAACAGTTTTTTGATATTTCAATAATAGTATTGAATCTAAAAGGTCATTACTCACTATAATGAAAATTGATAATAATATCTTTTTAACATTTTATAAGAGTATTGAATCTAAATGGTCAATACTTAAGGCAATTCAAAATTTGGTTGCAAAACTTTTTTTACTGATGATAGCTTTTTTAGGGTTTTTGCCTACCTATCAGGAATTTTCTTGTTTATAGACAAACTTCTCCTGACCAATGCAAATTTTCGCTTTATACGTGACAGAGCAAAATTACCTTCAAGCTCCTTTGGACATTAATTATCTTTAAGGTGTGGGATGGGGTATTATTTTCCGCGAAAAGATATCAAAAAATAAGTTACAAAGATTTCGTTTCACGACGGTATACATTTCACGGCGGTATCATTAGCTATTTTGCTCAAGAAAAGGGAAGTGGCTTCCAGGTCCCATTCGCCGACCTAGCACCCTTAGCTTTCAAACAGTTCTTCTTTTTGACAGTTTTCTCGATGTTTAAATCTCCCAAACCATCTGTAGCTATAGCTAAACATTTGACTGAGTTTTGTTGCAAGCACTTCTGCTAAATCTAACTGCAAAAATTTAATCTTTTTGTTCTTCTCGAAACCAAATAGACCCTTCAGCCCAACACTAGGCCCTTCGGCCCCTCACTAGGCCCTTCAGTCCTCCTCCACCATGCACTTCAGCCACCACCGGGTCTTTTGGCCTTCCACCACGCCCTTCGGCGTTCCTCCCTGCCCTCTGGTGTTCCTACAATAAAAAATAACGGCCTATTATTGTTGAATCTTTTCTGAATGATTGCTACATAACTTGAATTCTGCTAAGCTAGAAAAGTATTTGAAGGTTAGAATAAAATGGTGCTATTTGTCTCTAACGGGCCAGGTCCTACAAAGAATCTTGATTTGTTAAAAAAGATCGTTGTTTTGTTGGCAAGATTGAGAACAGCAGGACGCCAAAGAAATCCAAATCTTATTAAGGCCGTGGTGCTGTTTCAACTGATAACAATTTATAAATATATTGCCGATGCATGTAAATTATATTTTGATAAAAATTGATCATCAATAATTCATGATTCTTGCAATAAACTTTGCTATAGACTTCTTTTTTAAAATAACTGCAGCAAATTCATGCTACTTCTGGACGACAATTTATCGCAAAAGTGTTTTCAGTGTTTTAGGTTTGAAAATTTTTCTTGGTATCTTGCTTTTAACAATTATTTAAACACATTCTTCGTTCTTTGTCTTTGAAATTGTTATGCAACAGATACCAGTGCTGAATTTGGCCATCTTTATCAGTTTAAAGAATTCGGTTGATTTCTTGCAAAATGCAGCTATCATGTTGGTTTAAACGGGAGCGGAAAACCGGAAAACTATTTCATGGCATTTTGTAGAACACTAAGCTTGTTTAAATGTTATGCTGTATAATTTGTAATATTTACTCTTTTTCGATCTAACAAGACCTTCTCTGTTTTATTATGAAATGATTTACCTATGGGATGCCGTAGTTTTTATGATAATGTCCAGTGTTTTGGAAATTCTAAATTTCTTTGTTGGTGTCATTAATTATTCCTTAGTTACTTGTTTTATCATATCAGGTATTTTGAAAGTATGGACTTATTTTAACACAAGCAGTTCTATACTTTCATAACTTTCAGACAACTTTGTTTATTCCGTTCTTTCCATTTTTCTTCAAACATGTGATTTACATTTAATGTTCATTTGTTATCAATTTTAGTCATACAAGTGCCTAGCAAATACATGGCCAAGCGAGTTGTAAAATAGCCTGATCAATATGGCAATGAATATCGAAAAAGAGGAGAAAAAGCCCAAGGTCGAGCTTCAGATACTAGACAAGCCACAACAACATACTTACAAAGAGCAGGATAGCGATATCACAAACTCACCTGCCAATTCTGCTAATGGTGATGACGTTGACATTGTGGAGGAGCTCTTCCCGGAAAAAGCCTTCGGCTGTTTGAATCGTTACTCGAAACCAAGGATCTGGGCCATAAACGTGTTGCTCTGGCCGTATCCTTTCTTTAAAAGTTTTTATATTGCAGTTATTATACCAAAAGTTATGGATAGCTGGGGATGTGTTTTACTCGGGGTATGCATGTAGCTTTGAGCTTTTATAGATTCGTGCACTTTATAATGTGAATATATTCAACAGTATGCGGACAGTTGCCGCATTACCAAAGACAAGACAACATTACGGTTCTACAGCTGTAAGTCGAAGGAAAGTTATGAAACTATAGAGTAGCTTTGAGGAAGGCCAATGTAAAACTTGATAAGGGTAAAAAAACTAAAAGCAATTTACCACTGTGCTTAAACTTTTCTTCTCCTAACGAAGTATGAGGGCCAAACAATTAATCCCATTTCTGTAAAACCTTTATTCAAAAAAAAGTAGAGAAATGTCGAGGGAAGGAATGAGGGCCAGATTTCTTTCGGAGGAAAACGGAGGCGTTTCCTGAGCTCTGCGCGTGGCGTTCTCAGAAATCTGTGAAGGCTCCTGCTCTAGAGACAATAGCGGTCCTTGTTGTTTTACCATTATTTTTCTACAGATGGCTGGGTTTTCCAATGCACTGAAGTGTTTACTTTGTCTCTAACTGTTAGACATGAAAAAACTTTTAGAAGATTAGAAATAACGCTGTGAATATTTGTTGGGGAGATAAGATGCAGCAAGTTCTTGAATGTGAAATGAGTACCCCCGTTTTGGAGCCATTGCACATGCGTGTTATACATTTAGAGTCAAAGAGGCATAGAACCCCCTGAGAATGAAACAAACAGAACTTTGCGAAGGAATTTCAAAACTAATTGAACGGTCGGAGCTTATCATTCACAGTGACATGGGAGTTTGATCATAGCAAAAATATCTTTCATACTGAAAGACCTGCCTGGATTCTCTGTTGTTTCATGTTTTTTGTTTGTATTAAGGCTCGCTTTACTTCCAAAGGTAAGCAAAAACATCGAGAATTTTCTGAGGCGGCCTAAATGTTCACTTAGATTAGACATTCGATGTAAACAATACAACCTGATTTGAACTGACCTCCGACACTAGAGCCAGACCAAGGCGACTTAATCGACTAAAAGAACTGAAAACGTACCTTCAATTCAATTATTCAAGGCGGAAAGGAAAGCTTCGAATTTTGATCTTCCCGTTTAACTGTATCTACAAAGAAACTCCGAGGAAACCCCTAAATAAAAAATAAACGAAAATACGTCCTTTAAATAAATATTTGCGCAAAACTCCTCAGAAATTGATGAAACTTGTTTAAGTTGCTAAAATTACTGTTCTCAATATGTTTGCGAGATCTTGCTGTGTTCCCTGGCTTTGGGTGTTGAGCAGAGTTGAGGATGGCCGTGGATTTTGTAGGATAGTTCATTAGAATACGCACGCCTTCCTCCCCCTCGACGTTGATTGGCTCGAACAAATCATTAAGCCTTTTGTCTGAAACAATAAGAGTGAGATCTCATCTCCCCAACAAATATTAATTAAAGTTGAATACAAAAAATCTTTTCAAAAGAAAGCTGCTTTCAGCTAGATTAATATTACGATAGTTTCTATTACATATGCTATAATTGGAAAATTCACAGAAAACAGTTTTTGTCTACAGTCGACGTGAACAGATTGATTTGACTGAAGATATTGCTACTATGTTGATGACTCTATATTGTCAAAAAGCATTCGTTAAGTGTTGTGACTTCTTGACATATTCCTATCAGGTATTTTGAAACGATAACCATGATGGTTATTCTATGCAATGGAGTGACGCTTGGAATGTACGACCCTTATGATAACAAATGCACATCGCACAGATGTAAAACTTTAGAAGTGATAGAAACGGCTATATATTCATTCTTTGTTTTTGAAATGATAGTGAAAATTATTGCAATGGGATTTTGTGGACCATTGGGCTACCTGAGTGGCTCATGGAATAGACTAGATTTCTTTATCGTCTGTGCAAGGTGAGTCAAAAGCCAATTTTGGTTATGTTTATCGTTTTCCTTTTGAATACAAGTGAGAAACACAGTTTGATAACTAGAAGAGACTTGCCATTCGTCCTTATCCTATGCCGGTTTTATGCCTTATCCTATGCATGTTAGCGAAAAGGGTTTTTAGAATTATCATAAACATAATCATCATCATTTTCTGAACCTTAAAAAATTTTCAATGGTACAGCAGTGAAATGTTCTTTACAAAGACTGAATAAAGACCTTCAGCTGCCACCAATCGCGGCTCTTTCCAATATTCATACTGTTAGCAGTATTCAACGCTTATAAAAAATAAAGCTCGTCGGAAGCCATGTCACCTGGCAAAGGTTTTCGGTTCATCCTTGCGTTGCACCCACACATCTTGCCCATCAACCACGCTCTTAATTGATAGGTGTTTGAATATGGACCCCGAAACATGGATGAAATTAAAACACAGCAGAATATTTATAGAGAACAGCTGCATCTTTTCCAATAAACACTGAAATGAGCTTTTGCAGTCTTTGGCAGTGAAAGCAACTATTTAATCTAATATGACTAAAAGGGACTATTTTATAGAATGAAAATTGCTTAGATATTCTGTGTCTCGCTACGTCACTTTGAGAATGAAAATGCATGTTATTTATTTTAGCACATTTGAATACTTATATGGTGATGGTGAATACCTTAGTTCAATTAGAGCGGCAAGGGTGCTCAGGCCTTTGCGCGCAATCAACAAAGTACCTAGTAAGTAAAGGTCAATGTATAATGAATAAAGATACTTTGAGTTGCAGGTTATTACATTGCATCAATTAAAGTTGTTTTGATCGTTCATCAGATGATCATTTTTGTAAAGACGTACGCAGTATAAGACTTTTAAGCTAAATTTGTGATTGTATTGTTAAGTAATTTTTTTAGAATGGGCCTGGTCTTTGAAGATCAGCATGTGTTTTATACCGTTTTTGTACATAGCCGCAAGGAAATTTTCTTCCTCTTCACAGTTGAATTGTACTTTAGCTTTCCAGTCATGCAAAGCTCAAAGAAGGGATCCGATTTGGTTTAATAAAGATAGCGGTGGTGTCAATTTGCACTATAAAGTAATCCGAAATTTAGCGATGAATATTAAAAATTACAAAATTAACCGCCATTCGGAATTGATGCTCAAGACAAGTTCGTTTATCAAAATTCGTACGGGCGCTGAATGCCTTTAAGTCAAGGCCGTCTAACAGCAAATTCCCTTATTGCTTAAAAAGTTTAACTGCGCTGACCGTATCGTGATGACCGTATCAAATTAAGCAGTTTTATGGAATATCTGGACAATACATGGCCTAAGATTCCGATTGCCTGGAAAACTTACTTATTATTCCATTATTTCTAGGTATCCGGATATTGGTAGCACTTTTATTAGACACTTTGCCAATGCTTGGCAATGTTTTAGCAATCTGTACCCTGATATTTGTTGTTTTTGGCATTATTGGAGTTCAGTTATGGCAAGGCGTCCTTAGAAATAGATGCGCCTTGGAACTGCCCACTGGTGTAAATACAAGTCAGTCGTAAGTAATTTATTCTCCAGCTTCTTTATCAAATTTTCCAAGGATTCTTCATCCTCTATTTTGTTCTTTCTCCTTTTTATTTCTCTTCTTATTTCCTTTTTCTTGCCTTTCTTCTTCTGGTCATTTTTCATCGTCATTTACCTGTCTATTCTTCTTCATTTCTTATCATTACAGCCCCTTTACAAAGTTCCTCAAAGAGTGCTCGAACCCCCATATTGGGTACCAGACCTCTTCTTCCTACATAACAATTGGGCCCCTATCTTTCGTCTTTTCATTTTTCATCTTCTTCTTTTTCATATTCTTCATTTTCCTCTTCTTCTTTTTCATATTTGCCTTTTTAATCTCTTTCTTTTTCTTTCCATTATCCGCTTCTCTTGTTCAACCTTCTTTTATTTTTTTCTCTTCTTCTTCAACTATCTTGCGTCTTTCTTCTCCTTCCTTTTATCTTGATTGTAATTTTTCGTCTAATTTCTTTTCTCCTTCTTGTGCCTTTTCTTTCTTCTTTTCCTTCTTGTTCTTACTCTCCTTCTTCTTTTTCTTCGATTTCTTTCTCCGTACTTTCTCTTTCTTTTCTTTCTCTTTTCCTCATCCTTCTTTTTTTCTTTCTTTTATTTCTTCATCATTTACCTCTTCCAATTCTTTTTCTTCTATCTTTCTTTTCATCTTTTTCTTCTCTTTGACTTTCTCTTTCTTTTCCTTACTTTCCTACATCTGCTTTCTGCTCTTAATCATTTCTGTTCATCTCTGCTATGTAAAGCTGTGCATTCTTTTAGAACTTTCCTCAAATAGAACTTTATCTAATAGAATGCTTGTATGAATTGATTCCATCCTCAGGTTGCCAAATTATACAAGAAAATTTTTTTTCTGTCGTTCAAACAAAAAGATATAGGCTTTCTGATTTTTAGCTTTTTATTTGAAAAGCTAGGCACTACTTAGAGACAAAGCACAATTTAACCGCTCTGTTTTAATTCCAGAAACATATCGTCATACTACATGAACAATTTTGAATACAGTCTCATATGCTCGCTGGCAACAGACAATGGAATTGTTCAATGTACAAATGATTTTATTCCGAATTATTCTGCATCACGGTTTAGTCCAGTCTGCAAAGAAAGTTACGAATCATTTTATGACTCCAACACAACGCTTTCGAATTCATCGTGTGTCAACTGGAATCAGTACTACAGCCAATGTAGGCAAGTTGGTGACAACCCACATCACGGTGCCATCTCATTTGACCACACGGGACTAGCTATCGTTGCAATTTTTCAGGTAATCGATATTAGCTACCCATTACCATTTTTGTGTGGAACAGTTTGTATCTGTAGTGAGTAATTGTATCTTTGAGCATGGAAAATTCCTTCGTTAAAAGTCAATTCAACCACTAGCTTATATCAATAGGTTTGCATTAATTATGTAATCATTCTTGTTTTCACCAGAAGTAAACTATTATATACTTCATTGTACTTTGCATTTTTGACTATGCTTATTCTGCTATTAATTTTTTCTCCAAAAAAGGTCATTACGCTTGAAGGCTGGTCCAAAATCATGTATTATCTGCAAGATTCGTATAGTCCCTGGGTGTGGATTTATTTTGTTGCTTTGATTGTCGTAAGTATATTTCAATTCTAGCGCGTGTGCTCAATATCTAAACAATCTGGATTGTAGATCGGTAATTGTGTAATGTTCAAATCTAGCCTTTATGCACTGCAGCTGAACGTGTCTGATTTAAAAGCCAGGAAAGTTCAATTATTTTGTCTAGCTAAACCATCTCTCACGTCACCTGTTAAAAAATCACTCAACCAAAAGTCACCCTAAATGCGTACTACAAAAGTAAAATGGTAAAAACTTCTTCTCACTTTTTGAAATCAGTGGTCCTTGATTAAACTGGAAAGTTAAACTGTTATTAAACATTTTCTTATCCTTTGCATGTTGACTCCATGGCTCTATTTGCACTGTATTTTGCATTTTCCTTTGATGAAGCTCTTTCTTCGTCTAATATTTTGCATAACAGAAAATAAGACCATCAATGGCCTCTAAGATTCCAATTTGTGCGATTTCCTTTATTCACGTGACCTGTCTTCCTCTTTACGTTAGATTGGCGCATACTTTATGACAAACCTGTGCCTAGTTGTGATTGCGTCCCAGTTTTCAGAGACCAGGCAGCGTGAATCAGCCCTAATAGAGCAGGCAAACAGAAAGGCTCGCTTGTTGAAGTCGTACAGCACTCTTTCCGGATCCATCAGTAGCTATACTTTTAAAGATCAAGGGTGTTATGCAGCCATTCTCGGAATAATGGAAGACGCGTATAAACGTTTATGCAAAAGACTCCGCAAGAAATTGGCTGGGACTAGGTTTTGCAAGCCAATAGAAAAAAAGAAAATGAAACGACGAGTGGTCAAGAAAAGAGAAAAACACAGCACAACAAGCACAATCCATCTGCATCACCATCACCATCATCACTTTCACCATCATCACCACATATGCTCTAGCGATCAGGCAAACTCCACCAGTGGGCAAATTGGCGATTGCTCTAGCCATTCTCCTAATATTCTTCAGCCAAGTGAGACTGGTCGGAGATCTGCCTTGAGAACTCCCACAATTGTTGCTATTGACAACGAGTTTCGTGATCCTCGGGTTGGCGTAGCCAGCGTTTGTCCTGTCGCTATTCAGAGTACTGCACTGCTAATGCCGGACACTACTGTGTTAATATGCCGCCAGCCGTCTCCCCGTTCACCACAACCTACTCACACTGTATCTTTCTATTCGACTTCTTTAAATGATAAATCGGGATTTAGTGATGAGATACCATTAAAGTCATCAGAGGCTTCATACGAATTTCCTAGTTTCAAACGAAAACGTCCAACTGTATGCCCCAACGTGGAACAGTTCGAGGCCGACATCGATGGGCGAGGCTACGAGGAGATCTACAGGAGCAGCAGTAGTGACGATGAGGAGGAGGAAATCGAGGAGGTGGAAGTTCCCGGGCTTTGCTCGCGGATGAGCTCAAAAATGAAGGCAATCTGCGAGTCAAACCCGTTCAAAATAATCATAATGAGTGCAATATTACTGAATACGGTCATGATGGGTATTGAACACCACGGTCAGGTATGTGTGTTTTTGATGATGGAGATTAATGGGAGCTTGTTTTTTTAATCACCCACAAGCAACATCTATTTAATGCATCTAGCCAGAAAACGGTTACTGGGTGCGGATGATCTCCTATTTTCAATTTTCAATGAGAACAAGTCCCCTTTTAATTAAAAAGATGCTTTTCCCTCTTCGAATGACTTTTTGGCTACGAGCCTGTTGTTATTTTCGAAGGCATTTTGTAGCTTTTTGAGAATCTATCAGAATCAATCGAAGTTTGTTTTGTAGTGAGAGTAGTTGGTCAAATGTTGCTCTCTTAAATCATTATCTTTTTCATACATGAAAAAAATATGAATATTGATGTACTAATTTTGATATTGCTGAGATTTACGATTTTTTCCACCAGCCAAAAGAGCTGACAGATACACTGGAGATATTCAACTTCATTTTCACAATCGTCTTTGTCATTGAGTTCATTTCAAAAGTAATCGGCTATGGTCCTTATGGATATATCAAAGACTCTTTCAACCTATTTGATGGAACAATTGTCATTATCAGGTTTGTCATGCTGTCATAATAAGGAAATTGGCTTTACTTGAATAATCTAATAAAGAGCTAGGCTGGCATAAGACAGGAGCTGGTATTCAGCACTCACTTTTGTAATTCTATACACAATTAATTTGTTTTCTGAAAGTTTAAGTCCTCTTCCCAACGTGCAGTGACCCTTTATTTACGTCACCTTCATTTCAAAATTTACGCCATCATGATTTAGATTTTCACCTACCTTTATATTAATTTTTAATGGCTTTAATGAAATTTTTAAACTCTGAGATATAATTATATGAAAGAATGCTTATTCCATTGATCCCCGGGGAGCAGCATGTTAAAAACAAGAAAATTTGGACCATTGTTGTTTATTTGTCACTTAGTAAAGCACTACCTCTCTTTTCTGAATGTATATACTTCTTCACTTTTTGCAGCGTTATAGAAATCTTTGGAGACACAGGGAGCGGGGTCTCTGTGCTGAGAACCCTTCGATTAATGCGAATCTTCAAGTTAATACGATTCATGTCATCATTGCAAAAGCAAATCACTGTGATGGTGAAGACCCTGGATAGTGTGATGACCTTCTTGGCTTTGCTAATCATTTTTATTTTCACGGTATCCATCCTTGGTATGCATTTATTTGGAGCGAAGATGAACCGACAAGGCAATACCGTTCGCCACAACTTTGACTCTTTGCTCTGGGCACTAATGACTACATTTCAAGTACGTTGTTTTTTTGCCGTTTTTGTAAATGTAAACTGCCCTTGGGAGTACTTTCATATTCACAGTGTAAACATTTCAATTTGTTAGTGTAAACAATTTAGCTTCTCGTGAGCAATGTAAAATCTTAATATGACTACTGCAAGTTGCAGACGCCTTGCCACTGACCAAAGGCTTGTCTAGTAAAAGAATGTATATTAAGCAATGCTCAAAAGACCTCGAGTTTCTATACTAGCAAAAACCTTCTAAAATATATATTAAAAGACGTAGCAAACTAAGGAGCTGAGAGGGCTGTAGCCAACCGGTCCAGTTACAAAATGTATGGCATTCTAGGCTCTATTCGGGCACCTCTTTCTCAATAAAGCAATGGTACTCGGGTAAGATGCACACCAAGCCCCGCTAAACGCTTTGCATCCGCTACACCCATATTTCTAGATTGCATTACTTTTAAAGTTCTTCTCCCTTTGTTTTATAGAACATCATCTTCGGGGTTAATTTGTGATGCATTAATAATGATACTTTGTGATTCATATCTACTGTCCTAGGTTTTGACGCAAGAAGACTGGCCTAGTGTCATGTACGATGCAATGGAGTTTACTTCAAAATGGGCTGCTCTGTACTTCATCATTCTTATGACAATTGGAAATTACATCCTCTTTAACTTGCTAGTTGCCATCTTGGTCGAGGGATTCTCGAATGATCCGGTGAGCAATCAAATTTTTCAACGTTGCCTAACCCTGCCAGTAAGATATATGTCAATTAAGTCATTCAGGGTATGAGCCATTAGCCTAAGGTAAATAACAATCAGAATATGGAATATTGTGATGAGATCTAAAATAAATCTACTACACTATATAGAAAACTAAGTTGAATTTGCAAAGAGGCGTTCATGTCAGAAGGTTAGGGTGAATATACTTCTTTATCAATCATTGGCATAAAAGTAATTGTTTTGCACAATGTATGATATATAGATACAGGTTTGACATGTCTGAAAACATATTTTTGCGATATCATTCACTATTTAACGCTAACCTAACGAAGAAGAATCTATCAAACACTAACCCAATAAAATACCTCCTCAAGCATTACAAAATGTTAGCAAAAATGCCCAATTAGTGTGAAATAATTGTTTTTTTTAGGTTTGGTTTTCTAATTAAAACTTATTTCTTTTCTTAGAGAATTTAATAGATTTCCCCAGCTTACATTCAATCTATATGCACCAAATATCAATTTAATGTGATTGTACACCATAAGATATCAGTTTGTTGGTTAATGTTAAAATTTTCAGCAATGATTTTATTATCTAGTAGTTAAGCAGGAAAGGTATTTGCTCAGAGACGATGCTAATTGTTAAAGTTAGTTAGAAGATAATGTAATGAAGGAAGCAAAAAGCAACTCAAATATTGATTTCATAACTGTTCAATTTGAGCTGTGCCAGTCTTTTTACGATTTGTTTCAACGCACATATTTTGCATCGCTGTAGCGCCCGACATAATAAGGTTTACGTGTTTTGGTGCCTGAGTTAAAATGATTTTGATGATTTGTCAGTATGTACAGTTTTCATTTCCTGCAATACGCCAGAATTAGTTATATAACTGCGTGCATTGCCCAACTAGAAACAAAACTGCTCAGTTCACCTTTGTCATGAAAATAATCAAAGCAGCGTTCTGATCTCCTTGCTAACAGTTATCGGCATGATTTGGTAATGAAAATCGACAACATATTGAATTTTAAAACACCGCAACAAATGCCTTTTCACAGGTTTTCAATTCGAGATCTTAAAGACTTGTTGTTTTTGATGAAATAGTCTTCTCTGCAAAATTTTATTAAGTGGCTTTTCTTAAAAACAGTGATTTTGGTAATCTGTAAGCTAAATTTAAGAGGTTTTATGGTGCTAAAAGTCGATTTATCAAATTTGCAGTCTGTTCAGACAAACGGAGTGAATTTAAGCTAAGCTATTGTAGTTAGGTTTTGTGATTGATAGCAATCCATTCAAATCATCAGCTCATTTTCGTGTACATTTCTGCCTCTGCAGTCAATAGAAATCTTATGATGAAGTCTGCTGTCTTACTATTATGTTTTTTTCCTGGTACATCTTTCTGATGGAACTGCCACAGATTTGAACAAATGAAATCTGCTAGTTTCCTACAGCTAAATATGTTCTCTGTTCGGAAACTGGAATATAACGTGGCTTACGAGGGCAGATCAGTGTGTTCCAACGTTTGATTAAACGGATACCACGTGTTTCTGCCCACATGAAGCCAATTTCGAATGTTAAGTGGATGATTTCTATGAAAAGCTTTCACTGCAACTGAATTTTTAGCTGTGTCGTTCACCTGTCGCAGTGTTGTTTTTTAGTTTTATGTGTCGATGCTTTCGCCGTGATTCCTCATTTTTGAAAAGTTATTCCTCATTGCGATAACCAATTTCAGTATTGAGCACATTCTAATTTTTTGGAGCATCTAATGGGAACTTGACTACGATGCTCATTCCACCCTTCGTTGCATTGTCTAAACCGTTTGTTGTTCTTTTAGCACTCTGGGTAATTTTTAAAACCATACCAGGTCTGCAAGTCAACATTTAGAACTCAAACAATGTGCTTTTGACATTCTCTTCCCAGAACTATCATGACATCATTGGAGAAAGATATGGAGCTTAGAAGGATAGGACCATTTTCTCTGATTAGCCTTCGAGTGCTCCTTCTATGTTACAGCCATTTTTTATTCGCTAAAACTATAATTGATTGGGTCACTTCGCGAAAGCCTTACTTTGAAACGACCCGAAATATGTCTGGGACACTTTAAAGACCATTGTTCTCGTGAGAGGACAATTCATCCTGTCTTTGACTGAACCAATGGCACCTACTCGGTGAATTTCAGCTGAATTTTGATTGGCTTATGATTAATACGAGCTAGGTCTTTGCCTAGACGTGACATTCTATGTATATGACACCGCATGATGTTGTAAGCCAAGACAAGATCTTCTCTTTCTGCATAATCCCATTTACAAACGAAATGAGTCTTGTTAAGGTCATGAATTATTCAAACCTAAGATGGCTGCAGATGAGCTTTGTAGTCATGCCAAGGCAAATTCATTTGCATGTCCGTTTGCTCAATCAGATTTCGCTTAGTTTTGTCTGTTTTTTCGTTCTTTTTGGCGCATTTCGGGTCAATGAAAAGTGATCTTTCTGCTCTTTAAGGCCTCACTGCCTGCTTCCGATGTAAATCTGACGGCTTTTAAGCAGTTTGCGCGCACTCATGTTCCAAAATTAAGCTTCTTGTCCTTTCGAGTCAACTAAAAGAAAATGTCATTGAACATTTTTTATTCCGCTATGATATATTTCCTTCAACGCCTCAGGGAATGGTGTTTTGCCTAGCCCCAACAATCTGACCTTTTCACAAACTAAATCAAAGTTAGTTGTAAATAAAATATGCCAACTCAAACATTCGCAGGCATAATTAATACAGCTAACATCTCATGTCCTACACATCAACTGCTTCAGGAAAAATTTCAGAGCACCCTCAAAGTTCCCATTTGAAATGTTCAAGTTGGTTGTAAGATGAAACCAGATAAAAATCGTTTGGCAGTGAAATCTTTCTATCGGGACACCTTTTAATGACGGACACTTCAAATTACGGACACCTCTCAATAGCAGACATATTCCAATAGCAAAAACATCGAAACAAGGAGTGAATATTTTTCTCAAGTTTTTTCTGAGGTCAAGTTATGTTGAATTAGCATACAAACGGACTATAAATGCTAGCTTTGGTCAGACATGTATCTCTTACATGCACGTGCACTATAATTCTGCTGCAAACTAGAAGTATGTTAGATCAACGTTAAAATCATCCAGCCTTACAATTCTGCTTTACGACTATGCTTCTATGCTATTTTCGCACAAAACTAAGTACTAAAAGCAAAGGCTTCAAAATACCTGATCATTTTTCAAAATCAATTTTGAAGAATTATGTAAATAGCTTTTGAGTAAAATGTAACATAGCTATACTATATCCATATGAATATAAAAAACTATTATTTTTTGCTATCAAGTGAAACTTGATAAGTGTTAAGTATATAAAAATATTTGAAGTGATAAATTTGATTAACATTCCGAACTTTGTGTACAAAATGTTTACAGGTTAGTAGCACTTAACAAACACTGTCTCCTGTTATGCATACACTCTCTGTTTACAACATACATTATTGCACATTACACATTCATTCTAATTAACCATATACTTGGCGTGACTAACCTCAGTCATCAAAATTAGAAATCTCTTTTACCTTCGAAAATCACACCCCAGGGCAGCCTTTTTTCTTTAAAGATTCACAGAATTCAGCGGATATTCTTTACCTTATGTTTCATATTAACTGCAAAACGAAAAGCTATGAGAGAGCCTTAATGAAACACAAAACTAAAATTTGTGATTGCTCACATGAATGGTCTTTGAAGTAAATTGCTTATGCATAAGCAAAATATCCGTTGTCCCACCTTTTGGCACTTTGACAAGGATTCAGTCTCTATCAGTTGAACCTTTCAAAGTTTTTTAATGCATGTCAAATAATCGTCAACTATATAGCTGCAGCAAATTGCCAGTTTTTGCGAGTCCTTGTTTGAGTGTCTTCAAATCTGGCGACAACGGGATTTTGCAAACTCAAATTTTTAGATTTTATATCTTGATCCACATTTGAAAAGAAATTAGGCCCGACTACGTTTAATTGATGAAATGCAAACCTTAGTTGATAAAATGCCAACCAGGCTTGTATTCCCTATACCCTTCTGTTTCAGAAACTTCGAAAAATGTTAAAGCCAAAATCAAAACTACAGATAAAATGCAAAACCCACCAGCAGGTATCGATATTTTCATCTAGAATTCTAATCTTTCTCAACATCATCTAATTTTTTTATTTGCCTTCTAAATTAACCATTCACTTTTTGTTTTTTTTGCCGCCATCCATTCTGCTGACCTCATCAAACTCTACTTCAGTAGAGTGTAAATTTATTAACAGCGCATTTTGCAGGTATTCCTGCCTTTCTGTTGCCGTTCTTCCTTTATTTCACCAGGAAAATATATGGAAAGATGTTCTCTACCAATGTCTGAAGATTGCTTTTAAATAATCAGTCTGAAAATTTTTTCAAGTTAGATTGACGAATATTTTCATAATTAAATAATCTAATATGATTGGCGTAGGCGACATAGGCCCAGGGAGCGCCACACCCCCTAATTAGACTTTATTTACCTTTTTTCTTTTTTTTCTACCTTTTTTCAGGCAGTTTTTGCTAAATTAAGCTATGATATTCGGGCAAAGTCCATACTATGTCCTCTATACATTAAACGTCTGTTTCGCCTATTTTGAGCATGAAATGCAATCATGCAATTTCCATGAATAGACACATCCAGTATTTAAAAGTTTTGAAATGCCAATTTATATTCCTAAAGCAAAATATTCTTTTTCCAGAAAAGTGAATTTTTCAGTTATTTTCTTCCTCTTCACCGGCAACTTTTTCAACAGTACGCATATGTAATGTACTAATTGCCCTAGTGTCTTTTTAAATTTATATATTTCTCCAAAGATACTGGTGCCGCCATTTAGAGGCAATCTGTCTCGCTGTGGATTGGTTAACGAGAACAATAGCTGGAACAATAGCCTAAACACGATTCCAGCGCTCTGCCATATTTTTTACAAGGCAATAAATTAAAGGGGACTGGAAACAATAAAAAATCCGTTTGTTCTTATAACCAATCAACGTCATGACAGGCTGCCTTTAAAGTTAGGATGAAATTAAAATGCTCATTAACGATAACATTTGCTTGCGAATCCCAAAGTTATGTCGACATTACTTGAAAACGTGAAAAACCCAAGGAATCTCTTAATCCTTCCCAACCACTTGGAAAGGTTTCCCTTTGATGTGAAGAAAAGCTCGTCGAGCCATTCTTTTAAAACTCTACTAATGAGGGAAAGTAGTTTTTTATCTATCCTCATATTCTGTCGGAAGCCTCCCTTTTAGTTTTATGCTAATGATTTTGAAATAATTCTCCTTGTCATAAACATTTTTAGCTTAAACCAAAGATTGTAATCGGGGTTAAATTTGATATAGTACCAATAACAATGGTTAACTCAAAGAGCGGCAAAATTCATAAAAGAGAAGGGCGTTTTTGACCGAAACCTTGATATGAATTCGGATGTTTAAAGCTGACACAGGCATTTTTACCTGGCTTTATTAATTTCAAAGTCATCTGTTTCAACGCTGATCAAAATCGTATTCCATACAGGACTGAAGTTGTATAGAGAAATGAAGCTAGCTTTAGTTTTCGATTTTTATTCGTAGGTGGGGAAGGCAACAACATATAATGACAACACAATTTTTTTTTCTATAATTCGATAAATCACCAAAGAGGTGATATGTCACAAGAAAGCAATACCTACTGTTTGTTCCTCAGCTCGACTTCGTTAAGCATTGTGAATGGAATTTTCTTCCTCAACTTTCGACTTTCTTCCAAGGACATAACAACTAAATATCGTGATAGCAATTCTCTTGTGGTTGCATTGAGCGTGAAACCCAGAGCAGCTACTAACAACCGTCCTGCTCTATACACTGGGCGTTTACAGCTCTGCCCAGACGGCATCGAACACTTTTATCACAGGCCAGGGAAAAAATAACTTCTTTTCGTTCTTATGGACGTGCGTGATTTTGATTTACTTAATTTTTGTAATACTAAATGCTAGTGTACCCCTAAAGAAAAACGAGCCTCCGCTAAGAATATTCCATCAATTTCGTTCATAGTTTTCAATTTTCATCTTTAAAGGTGGGTCCACAAGTCATAGACATATATGAATTTATGTACACAAGTTTGTGAGGTCATGTACATAAATACAAACCTATAAATAAGATTTTATAGGCTACATTCAAAGAGAGACTTTCCCACCCTCTTTGTTTCGGTTCCTGCAAGCCCTTTACGTCATATTTTGTTTTTGAATTTTATAGGCAAACCTTGATTGAGGCTTACACCTTTACAATGCATTTTACGTCTTCCTCATTTGCTTCAGGTCATACCCATGTGCAGCATTTTACCTATTCCCTACTCGCTTCTTCTCACATATGTAGTTTCATTTAAATGTAGGGAGAGGAAGAAGAGCTTCTTTTAGAAGACAAGCAGGGGGAGGAAGCAACGAATGCATTGCACCAAGACACTTCATACGACTGCCAGAAAAGAAGTCACTTGACCAAGTGTACGGGAAGGTGCCAGCGGAGACCATCTCTTATCAGAAGTGTGTCTGATGTTGGAAGATCGTCTTGCCAGCAAATAGCATCACTGCATTCGAAATGCAAGGTCAAATCCTTGCCAGACTTAGCATTGAAATACAACGAGCCCGTCTGTGATTTCATACCAGAAAAGCTCGTGCGGTGCGATTCCCACTTTTCGTTAAAGGAACCAAATCCCCCCGCGTAAGCTTTTTATCATAACATTTCTTTGATCTGAAGAATGATTAGCGATAGTGAACTCTACTCGTAGGCTCGTATTCATTTAAAACAACTTACATCCTCTGTTTATACACTTGAAATTGTACACAAGAAATGAAATCAATATGTGATTGATACTTTTTTGCTTTTAGAGAGGACGATACATTATTGCGTAAGAACAAAAATTTCATCGAATTGCCAATTCAAAGTGATGACGGTGCTAAGGATGGAAAGGCTGCAGAGAAGGTATTTGAAAGAAAAGACGTTTTGCTTGGTATCTTGGTATTTGTATCGGTTTAAGAGAATCTTATCTTTTATACTCAACAATGATCAACCTGGATTCAATTATCCCGGCATTCTGTAACAGTTTGAGTAAGTCTTAGGAAGCTAAAATTTAAGAAGTGAATTTTTTAAGGATACATTATTCTTAAATTTAAATTCACATTCTGAAATATAAAAACAAATTGAAATTTCGTGGATTTTGTCTTAAATACCCGGATTGTCTTAACTGGAACGTCATTATACTGAATCTTTTATCTTATGGATTCACGTCAATAGAAGTTGGAAAACTACTAACACGATGTTTTTTGTCGGCGTTCTGGTTATTTGTCTGATCATAGTAGGAAATAGACAGGTCTCTGGAGCCATTAAAGTCACTTGTCACAAGTGAATATCAAATAAGTGTTCGGATGCCCCGTTCCATCCCATCTAGCTTCAGCTGATGGATGTACTGAAATTTGAATAGTACGAATAGGTATAAGTAAAACTGAGTACCGCCATAGTTTTACATATTCAGGGCACCTCTCATTGAGACTAAATTTATTCATAACTTCAAACCCATGCTTTCATTTACGATATAAGAGTTTAACATATACATATCTGCTTTCAACGTTTGCAACTAGAGTGGAAGTATTTGTTAAAATTTGAGCATGCATTGAATCAGAAGTCCTTGTTTCATGTTTCATGTTTCATTTGTTTCAAAGAATGCCATCCACCGGCCTTAAGAGAAGCGCCACAGACGGCCTAAACTTATGTGAAACTGAAACTGAAGTTCCAACTGCTGCTATCTGCAGCAAAGATGTATTGATTGCTAAACAATGTGTTGAGAGAGAAGGCTTGTTATGTAAGACATGCGTCTCTTTTGTGACATTGTTGTCTTCCTTTACGCAGAGAACTTGCCTACGCGACTGCCTACCAACATTCAAATTTCTGGAAGATCGAAAAGATTACTCTCTCTATCTGCTTGCTCCCAATAATTGGTAGGTAGTTACTAGAGTTGTCGAGATGTAGTCAATAGGACCCGGAAAACCACTGAAATGTGTAATACGTTCTTATCGAGTTTTCGATGCAGGGCGTATTATTATATCGTTACAAAGGTTTAATTCACAAAGATACACAATCCGAAATTAGTTTGGCTGTGTGACTGGCCCAAAAGGTTTTCTGTAAATGATGTTTTATAATAGTTTATAGGGTTTATAGAATCTAGACATTTCAGCTAGGTGGAAGATATTTAATTTTTTCATATTAGGTTTGTCAATACCCGTAGCAATGACTAAAAACCAACAAACCATGCATTGCTTTTGGTTTTAAAGATGTTTTGCTCTAGTCCCCATAAGATCTTTTCAGCCCCCTCAATCTGTTTTATGCTCTCCAGTCCTTGACAATGCATGGAAAGAAAAGTTACGCCAAGTCCTTAATAGTACTGAAGTAACTCTCCATGAGTAACTCTCCATGAGTACTTCTAGTTGATAGACCTTGTGTTCAATGAAATTTTTTCCAGCTGCTAGCTAGCAAATGGGAACGAGCTTATCATTTTTAATGTTGTTTGCTATTTTTGCTAGGTTTCGACGGTTCAATTTGATGTTGTGTACGAGCAAATGGTTCGACCGAGTGATCCTTGTTTTCATTTTCTTCAACTGCGTTGTCCTAGCAATGGAGAGTCCAGATTTAGATCAAAATGGGGCGGTATGTGTCTTCAGTTTTCAGCTCTCGCTACATTTCAAAAAACATTTTCTCATCAAACAATGAACTGGGAAACGGTTTAGGATGTTTTACAAACTAGTTGTACATTCAATCTTGCAATGTAGCATAACTCATTCTAAACTATTTTTCTACCGAATTATTTTATAGCTCTTTGAAATGCTTAACTTAGAAGAATAACGAAGAGGCCATTATTTACTGACGTAATTTTGCGTAGCTTTTATTAGATGTAATTATTGAACTTCTTGTGGAGCTTGTTGTGTATTGGTTTCAATTCTGTGCTTGAGTCTTGTTCTCATTCTTATTGAAGGAGCGCAGATTTATCGACTCGACAAACAATGTTTTCACCTTCGTCTTTCTTACTGAAATGGTCATCAAGGTTTGTGTCTCTCTGTATGATTTTTGAAAATTCCTTGCCTTTATTTTGCTTTAGATCTTTTTGTTTCTTATTTCCTTGTTATTGTAATGTTTGACTAGATGATACCACGAATGAACGAAATTAACCATTTTGCACTAGGTTTTGGCCTACGGATTCACTGTAGGAGACACAACGTACCTGAAAAGTGGTTGGAACGTCATGGACTGCCTATTAGTGGTGATATCCCTTATTGATTTCTTCGTCACGAGATACAGCGAGAAAAAGAGTAGCTTCCTTGGTGTCCTCAAAGTCTTCAGGGCATTGCGAACTTTAAGGCCGTTGAGGTTCGTATGACTTTGACCAGGCCAATAAAATAATGCGTTGATGCTTGGCTGCCAAACCCACTTTGAAGCATTGATATATACGGGATTGTATGCCTGATGCATAAAGGAATTGTTTATAACTTGTAACTCTAGACATTAGACGAAAGAAATACGCGTCAATACGTTTTGATGAGGACTGAGTATCATGTCAGTAGTCCTAAGAGTATGGCTCATGGCTTCATGAGTTCATGTCTTATTCACGATATGATCCCGTGTCTGTAATTCTGCATACGAAAATTACAAACGGATGCCCCAAATATTCGATCTTATTACTAGATGATCAGGCTGTTGTTTTTGATTTGATAAATTAATTTGGAGCAGCTGTTTTGATTCAATAAATTTAGATTTATCTCGTGTTATCTGTAAATTATAACTGCTTGAGTAGGATGTCTTGCTTAAAACTTGAATGATTTTTCCTTCAGAGTGATTAGCCGAGCTCCGGGCTTGAAGCTTGTTGTTGAGACACTAATGTCATCTTTGAAGCCAATCGGAAACCTTCTTGTTATTGCTGGTGTTTTCTTTACCATATTTGGAATTCTTGGTGTTCAGGTTAGGCCATTCGTTTCCATTTCACCTTTTGAAGTAATGCCCCAATTTTCACTTTTGATTTCAATAAGGCCTGAAATTTGTGTGCTATATTCTGATCTGTAATATCGAGAAATTTTACCAGTACATGATGCGATATTTTAAGCATCTCTCATAAAGTGAAGAAGGAGAAAAGAGTCTTGGGGATGCCATAGAATAAATCGCTTGATAGAATCTTACGCTTTAACTCGACGTAACTAGAACGATTTCTACAGTTTTGCCATTTTCATTATTATTGCCCTATATTCCTCTAGGCACAGAGGCTTTTCTTCAGAAATGTAATAAAATTTTAGTAGGCATTGCTAACATTGTGATTCTTTCTTTGTTCTGCAGATCTTTAAAGGATCTTTTTACTACTGCTTTAATCCAAGTGGCCCCGTTGAAACAAAAGCCGAATGTCTACTCAGAGGCGGGTCGTGGCGAAACAGGGAATACAATTTTGACAATCTGCTTAAGGTAAACAATTCACATTTGTCCTTAATATACCAACGTGCTTTCTAAACCGTCTGCTTGGTCTTGAAAACAAGAACGGGAGCGTAAGTGGTAAAACACCCCCTAGAATGAGGTTTGATAAATTTCTGTCGATGCAAATCAAAGAAATGTTCACATTACCAAGATATTATTTCTAACGTCACACTGATCGAAAACATGCCATGCCAATCTTGTGGGGGAAATTTCGTAGTCGCGATGACCCTGTTACCATGTGACCTTGCAATATTCTTTGTTGTAGAAGAATTATTGTTGTTGTTGTTGCTTCTTGTTGTTGTTGTTGTTGTCGTTGTTGTCGTTATTGTTGTTGTTCAAAAATTGTGTCTCTTTGAAGATTTGTCTTTGAATGTTAACAATCAGAAAAACAGAATCGCCAATATATGGACCGTGCTACTAAAAATGTTATTTAAAACAGTAATTTGTAGAATCTTAAAAGCAAAAAAGTAACTGCATTAAGAGCATTGGGGGTTCAATTTGTCGAATAAGCTAAAAATTTCTAGCCTGGGCAAGGATTATTTGGTTTTTAGAAAAAAGAGTGAATGAGCCCGAATTTCGTCATTATTGAAAATCGAACTTCCTTTTGTTACCGGACTGATAAATCATCATCCCCAACAGGCAATGCTGACCCTGTTTGTGTTCTCTACCAAAGACGGCTGGGTGGCATTGATGCACCACGGCATCGATGCAGTTGGAGTAGACAAGCAGGTATTGTAGAAGATGCATCATTTGATAACGTATATATATAAGGTATTTTAAAGGACGAGCTTTCGATCATCAAAGATTTGTCTTGAGATAAAGCTTCGATATGAGATCCCCATTCGCACTGGAGATTAATTATTCATTGATAACCATTGAAATTAGCGTTTATCATATTTGTCTAATATTTCATGTCTCACTGCAAATTTCATCAAAAATAAGCGTTCTGCATGACCTGAAATCTATGCGAGATCTTTTTTATGTTTCTTCAATATCTAATGAAAGTGATTACAATGTAATTATTGTTTTAGAAAATATGCATTTTCATAGTCATAATACATTTAGTGCTGAAAGATTTTTGCATTGGATCACGCAAATAAATAATGATATTATATTAGTAGTGTTTAGTGTTTTGAGCATTATAAATTTTTTGATGCAATCATTGTCTGAAGCTGTATATTAGGTACAAGATTGTGGAAATGCGTTGATATTTCCAATGTTCTTAACGTTAATACAAAGAGAAGCTCATCTTGTCATGTTTAATGCAAAGTCCTACTGAAAACTCTACTACCAAACACCGCACAAAGTTTTTAAAGGCTGCAAAATAATCTTCTTTTGCTGAAATGTTTTTGCTAAAATATTTCTAAGTAGTATCGAGGCATCTAGGATTGTGGGATCTTCAGCCCATTGAATTTATCTTATAGTTTTGACTTTGATATTTAGAGATGTCCTTGCCGATTTAATGAGTTTAAAATGAAAATTAACAGCTTTTTCTTGCTCTTTTTTCTTACTTCTCTTCTTATTCTCCTTCTCCCTTTTATTTTTGTTATTTTCTTTTGTTTTTTCTTCTCCTTCCCGTCTTTCTTTTCTCTATTTTTGCTATTTTTTGTCATTTGTCTTTGTTTCCTTCTTTCTTCTCCTTCTCCTCCTTCTTCTGCCTCCTTTTGTTTCCTACTTCTTTTTATTCCTTCTGATTTTCTTACTCTGCTCTGCAAAGCTGTTTTTACCATGTATGATATTGCAAATATTCCCTACAAAGCCTTTGTAATCTGAAGAACGCCGTTTTTTTCTAATTTAACCGTCTACCCATTCTCTCTTTCAGCCGGTCAAGAACCACAACCCATGGGCTTTCTTGTATTTCTTCTCATTCCTATTAATCGCTGGGTTTGTTGTCATTAACATGGTCGTTGGTGTAATCATTGACAATTTCCATCGATGCAGAGACCAAATCGAGGCCATTGATGGTGCAAAAAAGAACATCCAAACAATTGCATCCCACATTGTTGATGGTGAGTGATTTTACATGGAATCTTTTTCCCAGGGAATTGGAAACAGGAAGCGTCACAGATCCATTTCTCTGGTGTATTCAAATTTGGTGAATTGGTACATTGCCCTCTAGTACTGAAAAATCAATCGACCTCTTTAAAGAAATTTCATTTTCAGCTAATTGATTTTTTTCAATAGTTAGTCGTCCAAACCTTTGATTTTCCTAATTTGTTTTCCTTCTCTAATTTTCTTCAAGCACAATTGACGTTCTAGTTATGGAATTCCGTCCCTCAACAAATCCCTACTCCATAATTTCCTTACTTTGTTGCCTCCTTTGTACAGGTTCAGATGGTGAAAACGAGGCTCAGTTATCTTCTGAGCCAGATATCTTGAAATCTTCTAATGCCCCTGTTAGTGGGAGAGCCACTGACGATAGCGATGATGCAACTAGCATTTCTGATGACGTAAACAGTACGTAGTGTGTGTTATTTGGTAACGCCTTCTACGCACATACACCGTACAAGAGTGTATTATTTTCAATTTCATGTCACTGCATCCAAACACCACTTTGGTTTTCACCAATAAATTACAATTCATAATAAGCTCCTTCTTGCATATCCTTGCAGTTTCTTTCTAGCTGCTTCGCTCTTTTGGTTTCTGCTTGGCATATAAGCGTACTAGCGTTTGCAAAATACTTTTTCTGCAGCTTTTCTTAAATCTTCGTCTCCAGCTTTTTAAAATGGAGTTAAACTATCCATTACCCTTACTGCCACATCTTACTACAAACTTTACTTGGCTGAATGCCTTGAGTTATCGCAAGAAGCTTTTTTTTCACTTTCTCTTTCGAAGGACAACTGAGTGCCACTCACAAAGTAATAAAATTCATTGCTCATTGTAAATGCTGCAAACTTTTATTCTCTAGCAGAAATGCACATAAACACAACCCACCAACTCTCTCAAACTTTTCTGTCCATTCGACTTCATGCTGCAAAGATCTTTCGACGTGTTAATCCTGCTTATCGATCGATGTCTTATAAAGTTACTGGGCTTTTTTGTAGGTGACATAAGCCAATCTCTGTTCGATACGTTTCCTGTATGGCGAAGGGTCTTGTATACAATTGTCACACATTACAAATTTGACATCATGATTGCAACAGTGATCGGTTTGAATGTCTTCTTCATGGCAGTTGAACACTACAAAATGTCCGCTGTAAGTAAGGCTATCAAGTCTCCGTTCATTAAAATGCATTTTTAAGTAACTATAGAATCCATATGGTGCATGTTAAAATTTTTGTTTGCATTTGTATGTATAAATATATTCCAAAAGTGTGTATTCTAAAAATACTAGTACTTTCATTCGCCTTGAGTAGTTTTAAAACAAATTTTCCCCAATTTTCAAATTGTCAAAATCTTTTCTAACATTTTGATATCATTCGAAATTATGAAATTTTCAAAAACAATGCTTGATAAAATTTTTATACTTGATCATTAGAAAACTTTTGTTGCCCAATTTCCATTAACCAAAAACGTTATTCTTGCATGTTGATAACGTCATTGACAAAAATTACGCAAGATGCTTGTTTTCTTAAGTAATGTTGAAATACATTTTTGAGTAGTTAGTCATATTTCTATAATTTTCTATCAAAAGTGTTTGCACAACCTAGATGATCAAAAGGGTATAAGAATACAAGGTTATCCCCGAATTTCTGCTTGATTCTTTCTTATTTAGTTTTGACATAGTTCTGTTTCTCAGACCCTCAGCCAGTTCCTGAAGATCCTGAATTTCATCTTCACTGGGATCTTTGTTCTTGAGGCTTCCATGAAAATCCTTGCATTTGGAATCAAAACATTCATTTCTGAAAGGTTTGCATCTAAATGTTCCTTGGCTCAATTTTTAAAGTAGAACTAGTTCTGCTAAACAGTACAATAGACTTTGTGCAGTGAAGTGCAGTGGCATCTTAGGGCATTTGACGGTTTCCTATCATTGCCGATTTGTTCAAAGAATAGTAAAAAATCAACAATTGTGATTGCTATGTCGATTGTAAGACATGTGAGTATTATAGTTAATAAGCATGTTTGCCTAAATATGCAGATCATTGCAGCAAAGCTCATGTGTAAGCAGCATCAGGTAGCAGTGTATGTCACTTGTAAGGCACGAGCTGGTAATGTTTTGTCTGGTACTTTTATCTAGCTAAATTGATTCTATATAATTTTGGAGGGTGGATTGCTCTATATTATCAGGCAAAGTAGCAAAAGATTTGGCCACGTAGAGAGGGAAGACCAAGACATTACACAATCAGCATTGCCTTTTTGTTTTCACTAACAAATTTTATCGATCTAGGCCTTTGCATCTTAATGTTATAATTTGTTCTTTTCATCATCTGTAACCATATTGCTACTTTCATTTTTGAGGAATATTTATTTTGCTTATATATTTCTGTATATAAATTTATTGAATTGGATATTCGTCGAGTCCCTTCAATATGATATCAGTCTCATTGTTATAATTGTCATAAAATTATCAAGGACATGCTTTATAGTGCTTTGATTCAAGCTTTAGGTTTAAAGGAATCTGAACCTAAGTAAAACACTTCTATGCTTGGTGTTTGTAGGTGGAACCAGCTTGATCTCTTCATAGTTGCCTTATCAATTGTTGGGATCGTATTAGAAGAACTAAATGAGAGCCTCCCAATCAACCCGACAATTATCAGGATAATGAGGGTGTTGCGAATAACAAGAGGTAGGTCTCGAGAATGTCTGTCTTTTGCTGTACTGATGAAGTGGTAGTATATATGATGTTACCGATTGTTTAATTATTTTCACACTGAGGTATCAGCCCTACAAAATTTTTCAACACAAGATAGGAAAAGAATTTTTCTAGTCGAATTTTTCTGTTTGTTCAAGAGGGACTATTGGGAAAAAGCTTCTTTTTCAGAGAGAGAGAGAGAGAGAGAGAGAGAGAGAGAGAGAGAGAGAGAGAGAGAGAGAGAGAGAGAGAGAGAGAGAGAGAGAGAGGTGGTCTAGCCTGTGGAATCTTTTGGGCGGTAAGCCCCTTTTGTTTTTCAGCTTGTAATGTTATAAACCTATCATAAAAGGTTGCTACGGAAATTCCACCTTCCTCATTTGTTTATCTAAATCTTAATCTAGATAATCTGCAATTATTTAGAAATAAAATTATAATTTTTAGTGCTGAAAATTCTCAAGTCAGCAAACGGAATACAGAAGCTCCTTAACTGTCTCTCTCAAACTTTGCCGCAGGTAGGTCTTCGTGCAATAAACTTGTATCTTCTTTATCAAAAGAAAAACAAAACATTTTGATTCCATGTCTTCGCCTCTAAGCAATTTTGCAAACGATTCATCATTTGTCGCGTACTGACTCACTCAAGTCTGCGCTCAGCCTAATTTGATACAACCGGTTTATTTAGATCAACGAATTTGGGTTGTGTCAATTGAGTTCAATTGACCTTCTAAAGTCTTCTGCGACTTTAAATGCTTTGAACACAAGTGTAGCCATAGCAAGTCTTTTAAAACTCCACTATTCTACGGAAGCCGCTTTTAAACTCCACTGTTATATATTTACCTTAATCATAGACTATGCCTTAATCTACCATCAAAGATAAAAAACTATCCAAGATGATGCAATGTCCAAAGCTGTGGACCAGGAAAATGGTCTTTTTAGAAGACAATCTTCCTGGTCAATATATCTTTGCACTCGATGAAGAATATATTTGCATTCGCAAAGTTGATAAACTAGGATTTGAGCGCAGTTTTTAATGGATATGTCTTAATTGTGAATAGCATTTCCATTACCAGTGATGCCTTTTATATTCTCACTTTAGGTTGGCAATCTGTCCATGCTTTTTATGCTTCTTTTCTTCATCTTTTCTTCACTTGGAATGGAGCTCTTTGGGAAACTAGGTATGTACTCTTAATCATGTACAAATTTCCATTAAATTGTAAATTTTGTAGCCAAATTGCAAAAGTTGAATTTTTCTTGTAGTCTACAACTTCACGGGGCAAATTTTCGCGACTCGAAGCATTACTGTTTTGCAGAGGAACACCTCACTCATTTCGATATTTCTCAGTAAAGCAGCTTGATATGATTAAATCTTAAATTCTTCTAGCAAGCAACAGCCTTTTTGCTCCCATGATTGCAAGTTACATTTGCTCTAGAGAAACTTCCTAGAATATCTTCTAATTGAAAATGCTGTCCACAGCACTCTAATTGACAATCTCGTTGGACTAGATATTTTTGCGGTAGACATTCTGTCAAACGCAATACATAACTGTCAGTTAACTGTTTAAGAAATCTGACAACTCGGAGATGAAGAAGGAAGAAACTGACTTGAGCTTGTCAAGAAAATGTCACGGGTTTTTTCAAATTACATTGCCATCTACAAATTTCTGATCTTATTAGCTTTTTTACAAAAGCCAATTTTAAAATAAAGGGGATAGATTTTGTATGATTGGCTATATTCCCGCTTGCAGCTTTGTTGCTTTTGAAAATGTTTTGGAAATTTTCTCTGGTGATTGAGTACAACATGTTTATGTCATTTTCACAGAATCTTGTGAAGTTATGTCATGGTGGTCGTCTTTAAATAAATTTGTCACTGTCTGGCAATTGGCCACAGATATTCCAGGGAAAATAAGATCAGTTATAGTAGACCACCACTTGTAAACGTTAGAGTTTATTTACAAGGAATTTAGAGTTTCAAATTTTTAGTAGTTTACAAATTTTTATAGACATAGGTCCAATGACTGATGAATTTTGCCTAGCAAGAAATGTCAAAACATTGAATGTATTTTGTTATATTGTTAAGAAAATGTCCAAAATAACTTAGACAATTCTAAGGGAGCAAGAAAGCCATACTTGACAATCGTGTCTACAAACCAACCGTCGTCTGTTCTTGTCTTCAATTCAAACTATGTAACCATCGATTATAACCAAAACAAGAGACTATTTGAGAAAAAGTACATGTTGAACGTGTATCTAATCATCGCCTACAAGATGCTTATGTCGATTTGTGGGCAAAAATATTGTAGCTGTTCTGTTTCTACTAAGAGATGTTTTTCTTCTCAAAAGGAAAAAGTGACCATTTTTGCTGCTATTTAGCTAATTCTCAGCTTCTAGATCATCTTCAAATCGTTTCGCATTCTTTGTTTATTCTCTTTGGTATATTTGTTGTGCATTTTTACAGATTGCAGCAGAGACGTATGCCAGGGTCTTAACAGGCATGCGCATTTTAGGAACTTCGGATATGCCATGCTTACGTTATTTCGAATTTCGACAGGAGACAGTTGGAGTGGGTTGATGAAGGTACCACTACCTTTCTGTCTTATTCAAATATTCCTTCAGTTATTTGAATCCTTTATAAAATGCAGGAAAAATTCTTTGCACTCTGCTTTTGCTGTAAAAAGTAAAAGAATAAATTTCAATTAATCCCACTTGGACAATAATGAAAAATGCTTTCTTTATTTTGGATTGTTCTCTTTCTCTTTCCTTAGATTATTATCTGTAGTTTAAACATCACTCAACTTTTATCTTTTGCTTCGCTATCGGATCTCAATATTTCTTTTATTTTTTTTAAATTTACGGGCAAAACATCAATAGGTTCTGGGCTGCTGTTGCATGTTGTTAACATCCTAAAGCTGCAAGAGTTTTTACAATTACCGTCTTTAGAAATCCTGTTGACTACAAAAGCTGCCAGAGTGTTTCACGGTTATGTGAAAAATTGTTTGAATGCAAGTTTCATGTTCATTTGAAACAAAAAAGACATTGTAGGAATTTTCACAGTGTAATGCGTTGCAGTTCTAGTTCTGTACGATGTTTTGTTTTTTAGGACACACTTAATCGTGAGATTTGTGTACAAGACTGCGATATGCTATATTGGGTGTCGCCAATTTACTTTGCCATATTCGTGCTATCAACTCAGTTTGTGCTTGTAAATGTTGTTGTTGCTGTGCTCATGAAGCAGCTTGAGGACTCCAAAGACAGCAGGACTTCGAGCAATTGCAACAGCATTTCAGACATGGACGACATTTTTAGCAATGATCCCAAGAACAGCCAATATGAGGAGGAAGATTATGATGATTGCCTCAAACAGACTGTCAATTGTAATAACATTAGCCTTACAGTGGGTGATGAGGCTGATGACAACTCAAATATGCCGAGCCAGTGCTTGCAGAAAGGAGACTGGACTCAACGTGACGTCAGTACAACGAATGAGTTCAGTTCTCAGGAAGTTGATGTCAAATGTGACGATCACCATCAGATGGATGATCAGCAGACTATGCAACTGAAAGCGAATCCAGAATTGCTGGACAGTAGTAGCTCCTATGGCGAATATGGCCTGGAAAATGCAATTATTGTTGTCTCTCCAGCACACGACAACAGCTTTGAAAATAGCTTTATTCCTCATGTACAGCTTGAGGACGATGACTTTTACGAAGTGAAAAGTGATAGCTCACTAGAGCCAAAGGATGACTGTGTCTACACAAAAACGACATTTTGTCGAAGTATGCCTGAACTTTATTCACCCATGCGGGAAGATTCTGAAACGACATTGCTTAAGACAAAAGAATCAAACTCTTGTCCTTATGCAATAACTTCTGTTTCAGACGAGAGTCTGAAAATAAAATGTAAACGAAAGAAGACTGGAGAAAGGCCGTTTTTAGCTCGAAGACGTTCAAGGAGCAAAGTTGCTCCTCTAGTTAGGGGATTAACTGTACCTTCGCAGACTCTATCAGTTGAATTCGAGAAGGATTCAGCCATAAAAAAGATGTTTAGGTCAGCATCTGAAGACATAGATTTTTCGGATGAATATCAGGCAAAATAATAATCACTGTAGTTTCTAATATTTGCTGCGTGCATGGCCAGATTCGTTCTCGCGTTCCAGCATTCCTCTGGTCTTCATAGCACCTAACCCTAGATAAGAAACAGACTTTCAAGATGTTGGTCAGATTGATCAACGTGAAATCTTAGAAAATATAAACTGATGCAAGGATAAGACTAATAACATTCTAAAAGCAGATGCAAGAGCTGGAGTTGCAAGATTTGGGCTTGGCTCATGTACGCAGCAAATCGAAAAATAATTTGTGTGTGTATTTCACTGTCTTTCGGAAACCTATGCTCATTGGTACATTTCTAGTGATATTGTGATCGACCAGTCATATCAAATACTGCAAATCAATAGGAAATTACCCAGATTTTGATATCTGTTGCGGCAAATGCGAGAAAAATGCATGTGAAAATGTTCATGGTGACTCGCCTTTTTTGAAAAATCATTTTTCTGCTATGTAATAAACTTTGGCAAACAAGTAATAAGATTTTAGGTATGATCGCAGCTATCATTTTGTAAAATGATGCCAATGTGCGCAGGTTACAAGGACGTTAAAATAGAAATTGTATAGGTGAGTGAGGTTATTGTTATTTTCATACGTATTCTGTTTTTACGAATTTTTTTACTTATTCAGTACTAGAAATTGTACATGATTCAGTTTTTAACCTTTTAGTACTAGATTTCTTCAAAGTCATCGAGAAAATTGAGAAATTTGACGATGCTCTTTTATATTTATCGAATACATGCATATCACAAAACGTTGCAAGCTCAGTCTGTTGTTGGGGAAAGTCACCATCAATCATCATCAATCATCATCAATCATCATCAATCATCATCAATCATCATCAATCATCATCAATCATCATCAATCATCATCAATCATCATCAATCATCATTATCAATTATAAATAATTATCATCAATTATCATCAATTATCAGTATAATTGTCATAATCATGAACATAACAGCAATTATCATCGTCATTATCAAAATGATATCCTGACAGTGTCCAGTTTCATTTTACCACTGTCAATGAAGATGTTACCTTGTTTTTTTCATCAATGCCAGAATCCTATACTGATCTTTGATGAACTGTAGCCTAAAAAGCAATTTTATTTTAATTTTTGGACATATTGATACCTATATTCTCAAGTGATCGATGTTCGAAAAGGATAAAATTCAGAAAGTGACTGAAATAGGATTCTCTCAAGTGGTAAAAAGTTCATCTTTTTGCGGGGTTTTCCATGCCATGCCTTTAGGCTCATTTCAGTGATTAATGGGATCTTCAAAAAAATTGCCTACGGACAGATCTCTATTCATCTTATAAGGTAAGCCAAAATCAATAACCGGGCTGAAAAAATGCCTTTACCAAAGCGACTGGAAAAAGCCCGGAGGGCACTTGGTCTAATGTTTGCTGCGCTACACTGACTTTACAAAACCGCAAGTGCGTAATGATTTCAGAGATATCGATTCACAGCACGAGCATAGTTTTCATCGTAATGAAACAAGGAGTTTGTATTTTGAAAAATCAAATGTTGCTGTTTACAGGATGCTTTGGCGACAATTTGTTGAATACACGTATGTATAACAACTTTTGGGTCAGTTTATTTTTATAAAAAATCACTGAAAAAATTGACTTCAGAATAGGTATGATCTTTTCTTAGGGATTGAAAACTGTTTTTGATAAAAATCTTTGTTGCTATAGCTAGCTTTTTATTGTTTTAAAAGCTTGATTCGGTCTCTTGCGTAAAGCAAAATTTTTGCATACAGTCAATTTTCAAACAGAAAAGCATTTTAAAGAAATACACTACCAGGGCACTACACTACACTACCATTTTCAATGGAAATGGTAAATTGGAAAGGTTTCAAGACATCAAATTAGCTACCTTTTGTTCTTGAAAGGGAATTCTTGAAGCTCTATATGATTAATCTCAGTCAGTCAGCCAGCGACAACGTCATACATAACAAGGTTAACATTGAACTTCTAAGCTTTTTATAATCAGCAACAATTCATTCGTTGATCCAACAAGCCATCATCATCATCATTACATTTACATTTAACAACCCTTTGGGTCATACAAATGTCTGCCCAGTCAACTACAACATTAAAATTTTAAAATTTACTGAGGTGATTTCGACATAGGTTGTAAAAGGTATCCGAATTTGCCTGCATCACAATACTGTCTGGCAGGCTATTCCATACAGAAACGATTGAATAAAAAAATGAAAAAGTAATATTTTTCATTTTCAACAAGAAACTGAACGGTCTCTGCCATGATAATCCGACACTTGTAAATGCCAATTGTTCATTTTCCAGGTGATGATTCAAAAGCAAAAATGGAAATAGTTTATGAAATGGGGATAATAGTAACTTCCTAACACAAATGGCTCTTTGTTCAATACAAACAGAATCAAGGGACAACCCACTCTTGCAAAAGATGCTTGTTGAAAAAGTATCCCTAATAAAACTTTTATTATACTTGATTGAAAATCTTACGCTTATAAGATGAATCATTACTACCTTTCAAGAAAGAACCCGTAAGAGTATGCAATAATTGCTACAGTGGGGCATTAATTTGCTCAATATAGTTTTTAACAGTTGCAGGGCCACACGAACTTTCGCAAGACTCTTATTCAGTCAGTTGGCATTTTAGGCTGTTGGTGTGTCGTGAGGATATTTCAATTAAAAAGAATCATAGATGACTAGATAAATCAATTTATGTTTAAGTAAATCCAATAGAAGTTGTAGATTAAAAACAAGAACGCTGCCTTAATTAAAAATCAAATCCTTCTTTGGTTTAGAGCCTAAAAAGGTGGATTTGACACACTTTGTTGAGTTTTAAATCAAAACTGTGAATCTGTAATTATAGAAAGTGGGAAAATTTGAAAAGGAAATTTTATCAAAAGTGCAGTATAAAATGCAAATGAGACATTTAGAGTTGAAGCATTAAGCCTTGGCCAAACGATTTGATTTTTTCGTTCGATCTTTCACTCGACATTTGATCTCAAAATCGAGCAATGTCGAGCATGGGTGGCCAAACGATTCCATTTTTCGCTCGATTTCTCAATCGACTTTTCATTTATGCCAACAAAATGAAGACATGCAAATGTCCTTTTAAATACACCAATTCGACTTACGGCCTCGTTTTGAAAATTTCTCCTAACCTAATTTTAGGCCGGATACAATTTTTCATATTGTTTGTGCTTGTATTTTAGATTTTACGGAGAAATGAAGTTTGAAAACTTGTAAGAGATTTGACCGCAAAAATCATTCGGGGGGAAACTTTACCCCCCTAGTCGCAAATCACGGTCAAATCCCTTATAAATCTTTTATCTTTTTGTCGTCATAAAATCAATATCGTGAGCAATACCATAATGAAAACTTCCAAATATACTAAAATCATTGCTCGCAATCCGAATCTGAGGTCAAATATTTTGAACAAAATAATTTGAAAAGTTTTTCAAAATAAGGCCATAAGTCGAATTGGTCTATTCTCTTGACGAACTCTAGCGCCATAAGACCCTAGTCGTTCATTTCATGCAGTAACCGTTACTAAATGTTTTATTCCGTTCAAGCAAATTACTATTTTTAGGCAAACTTTTTTTTCTTAATTCCATTCTTGAACGGAATACATCCCTTTAAAGGTCATCGGACCTAGAGGCCGCAGGGTAGTATGCTTCCTGCCCCCTTTTAAAAGTAACTAAGCATTAGATATGATAACTGCGCTCCGCTCGCTCGACTCACTCGACAGAGTGGCCACACGATTCGATTTTCATCCGACAGTACTTTTCTCTCGACTTTTTTGATAAAGATCAAACTTCACTTGACACCACCCGACGCAAATCGACTCGCTCGACAAGGTGGCCAAACGACTCGATTTTTCTTTCGATTTCCGGGGCTTTAGCATCAGAAAAATGTTACTTAACGCAAAAGGAAAGCTCTGATCCGGATGGATCATGTTTTGCTAGATGTCATATTGGCAGGAGAGCGTTCCCTTGTCCAAGGTGACCTGCGATTTGTTAATACACTCGAATTTTCCTTGATGTGTACGAAGCATGGTTAATTGGATTATTCTATCCGGGTTACCTAGTTCCGTCCGTAAGCCCAATTCCAGTCTGATGTATTACACTCATTTTTTAGAAACTTTCTAAATGAAATGAGTTCAACCAGAAAGAATAAAGTGGCATTAGCTAGTACTTGTAGGATAAAGAAACAGCTAAATTTTGAAAAGATAGAGAAATTTGACGAGTCTTACTGTTTGTAGCTGCGTCAAACCCACCCCAACAGGATTCTGCCAGTAGATTTAACAACTCTATTTAACCCTTTCAGGCCCGGAAGGGCCATATGGCCCAGCAGAGCATTTGCCCCTTATTATCTTTGGAGATCCCTTAGAATCAATGATCAATGACGTAATATGTTGTTCAGTTGTTGTACTTTCCTCTCATGACCCAATTTGAACAGCAGCAACAACAGAAAAATTCCCAGATGATGTTATGTGATGGCGATTGCATTGAGCTTGAAGTGACATTTTTGTTAATTTGAGAAGGTAAGAAGATAAGCCTTATCTTACAGGATAAAAATATTTTTACAAACTAATGGTATCATGCAGTGATATTTGATAGCTTGTTTTAGTTTTGTTTGCACATTTTCACATTTTTTCTTCAAATTACTCGCTGGGCCATATGGCCCTTCCGGTCGCATAAGGTTCTGGCAGCAACAACAGCTGATAGGCCCACCCGCTAATCAGCTGTTCACTTGCAGCTTCCAACTAAACCGCCTGTCGACCATAAGTTGTTTTTTTCAAAGAGAAGGACATTACATTTCATTCTTTTTGAATTTAAGACGATTTCATGCAAATATCATTGCCAAAAATTCATTTTATTTTCTTAAAAGTCATAACTATTAGAATGGGCCTTTAGGGGAACTACACTTGCTTTTTGTTGATATGTTTTAGGGAAAATCTTGTCTTTTCTACTAAGTTTCAAATGTACTACCAATGTTTTATCCCTTTTTATAGGATTTACAAATGGCCACCAGCATTAAATTTATTGATGAAAATTCTATCAGAGTATTCAGCGATACCACATATGATTCAGAGATTGATTTGGGGGATAGTGAGGATCAAGATGATGACGAGGAAAACAGTGAGAATTCTGAAATTGAGTCTGTACAAGAGGGTAAAGGCAATAATACTGAAACCTCTAAGAATAAAAATAATAAAAGGTCATACAGATGGAGATACACCAACAATCAACCCTTGTCAACAAACACAGGACATACTGTGCAGATCACACCTGAGGTAGATGAAGTTAAGACCCCATTGGAGTATTTCAAAGATTTTTTTGATGATGATATGATCAGTTTAATAGCAGATCAAACCAATCTTTATAGTGCGCAAAACAATATTGCAAAGGGAAGCATTGCCACAAATTCAGAGGAAATCCAAAATTATTTGGGAATTCTTCTTAGAATGTGTGTGGTACATATGCCAAAATATCGTATGTTTTGGGAGACAAGTACCAGATATGAGCCTGTTGCTAGTGTAATGAGTCGCAGCAGGTTCAAGGAATTGAAAAAAAATTTGCATTTTGTAAATAATGAAACTGTGCCACAGAGAGATGACCCAGCTAAAGACAAGCTCTTTAAGATTCGCCCTCTCTTCGAAATGCTCAGGCAGAACTGTTTGAAAGTACCTCCAGAAGAGAATAATTCTGTTGATGAACAGATTATCCCATTTAAGGGAAGAAGCTCTTTGAGGAGGTATCTTCCAAAAAAGCCAGAAAAATGGGGCTTCAAAGTCTTCTCCAGAAATGGCTCAAGTGGGATCTGCTATGATTTTGAACTGGATGGGGCTCCAAATCCAGATCATGTGCCTGTTGAGAAGCTTGGATATCATGGAGCTGATGTTGTTATGAGACTTTGTCATCATTTGCCAAAAGACCAAAATTACAAGCTTTTCTTTGACAATTTCTTTAATTACCTGGAGTTATTGGTAAAGTTGAAAGAGAAAAAGATCTGGGCAATTGGCACATTGCGAGCAGATAGGATGCGTGGATGCAAGTTGAAGTCAGAAAAGGAACTTAAAAAGGAAGGCAGAGGTTCACTTGATGGAGCAGTGGATTTCAACTCAGGTGTTACTGTTGTAAGATGGTATGATAACAGAGCAGTGCAGTTGGCATCAAATTATGCGTTCATTGACCCTCTTGATATTGTCAGACGTTTCTCTAAGTCTGAAAGACAATTTGTCAATGTCCCAAGACCACTTGTTGTTAAATTATATAATGCAGATATGGGAGGAGTGGATCTTTTTGATATGTTTAGAGCGTTGTACTCTTTAGATCACAAAAGTAAACGATGGTACATGAAGATATTCTTCTGGATCCTTGCAACTTCTGCTATCAATGGGTGGCTAATGTACAGAAGACACTGCAAACATTTTGGTGTGCCAAGAAAGGAGCAGATGCCACTTCTCCTATTCATTTGTCAAATAGCAGATGCAGTCATCACATCTGAAATTGATACCCCAAGAAGTCGTAGGAGAGGAAGACCATCTTTAGAGAGGAGCTTAGAAGTGACACCAGTGAGTAAGAGGCCAAGAAGGGCACCAGACCTTCATGATACACCATCTGGCATAAGGTATGATGCAAAAAACCACTGGCCTATACATCGTCCAGATAGACCTAGATGCATGGTGTGCAAAGAAAAGACAAGAATTGGCTGTAAGAAGTGTCAAAAAGGACTTTGCATTACAGAAAGCAGGAACTGTTTTCTTTCATATCATTCTTGATTTTTGTAAAGAATTGTTTTTTCATCATGAGATCACATAATTAATGTTCTTCATTCATAATAATTTTCTGTTCTTGTTGGAATATGAGTGTTTTCTTCGGAACTCTTATCTGCCTGAAGAATTAAGACTAAGAATGAAATTCCCTAATAAATGCCATTAAAAAGGATGGATTTACATTTGTTTTCAAAGTTTCTTGATGTTTCTTTATGTTGTCAATCATAACTTCAAGGTATAATTTAATGCACAGTTGTAATTATATATGAGTATGGGCGGATAATGTTCTATATTTGGCCGGAAGGGCCATATGGCCCAAGTCCAGATCTCACAGTGTCTGGCTCTATTTTTTATAATTTGTACTTTGCTCTCACTAACAATGTATACACACAATAAAAACATAACAAATGATTTTTTTCAACGAGCCAAAAAATTCCGGGCCTGAAAGGGTTAAGTTTATGGATCTGCCCCAATTAAGTTTAAACTTTATTGAGAGAAGATAACATTTGCCATCTGTTCAAAGAGCTGATTGTAAATGATAAAAACAGACGGATGAAAATGTTAGCTCCAGAAACAATAAGCAAATATATGGATATGGCAATGAATATGCCTGATCTCGAAAGTTTTGAGTTTCATTCATCATATAATGTTTTAGGAACTGATCATAGAGAAATGTCCATGATATTATCATTACTATAATACCAACTGTATATGAACTCCATACATATAAAACTGAACGCAGTAACAAGCACGTGTGTATGAGATAACATGGGCGAATTACATACGGGACTTAGTGTACAAACGGGATACGAATTATGTGAACATTACAATTCAGCTACAAGGATATTGATTTTAAAGAAAAAGACAACTTAGATAGAGAACTGGGAAAACCAATTTACAGGTTTTCTTTAAACCCCCAATAATTGCTAAACTGTAGTATATTTTCTTTATAACATTGTACCGAATGGAAAGCAGTAAAATGGGCAGCCCCCAGTATGAATTTCAACCCGACGGCACTGAAAGTATCAGTTGCCGGAAGTTTTCAGTACTTGTCTTGCCAGGCCTATTTTGTGCATGCAACCATAGTTCCACACACAATTTTCACAAAGTATGTAGATCTGTAAAAATTTCTTATTTCAGGGACTACAGTTTTGTTGGGTCTTTTTCCGCCCTTGATATTGGTAAATTTCGCAAATTGTGACGCAACCTCACTTCTTTAGGAATGGTGTTGGCACCGAGGATCCCTGTTTTTTACTAGGGAGTTATGGGTAGAGGGCAATATCCCAGAAGGCCGCTGTGTCCGGGCGTATATAAGCACACACGTGCAGTTGAACGCCCTCTTCCTCTAGCGATCGACTGCAGTGGGTTCTGATGCTAGCAACTGGAAAGAAGGTAAAATCGCATTCATTCTAACAGTCAAACGTTAGCTAAGTTTGAAAATATGTCTCTATAAGTGGAAACCTTTCAATCAATTGTTAGATTAGTGTTCGAAATTTTATTCCAGCTTGGGATTATACAGATATTTGTAGATTTCAAATTTGAACTTTAACCATCTTTCTACCTTGACTACAGCTTAAAGCAATTGAAAGTTTTATATTTGGTGGAGATAATTAGTTGCTGTAGTAATTTTGGTATCAATTCATACTATCCAAATTGCCAGTTGTTTCCAGAAGCACTTTAAAGCTATTTTCAACGGTTTTCGTTTGATCGAATGTGTCTTACCATGTGGCCTTAGGCCTACTGGGAAATGCCTCCTCGTGCTATTTTCACGTGGGCCTAGGCGGCTTTCTCTCAGGTTTATCTTGACAATCTGTCTATGACGGGGGAGAAAAGTAAGAAATGCGACTTTGGTCAGTGTAAAGCTAGTCTTTCAAGCCATACATACCAGGTGGTTTATTTTTTGGCAGTTTGGTGCAATTTGAAGTATGCACAGTGATGACTAAGATGACGAGACTGAAGTTGGCTTTTGGTGTTCCATAGTTGCGTATTGCAGCAATGGTTCATTCTTAACCACATTCACTGATGTCAAAGTTCGAGGCATTTGTCTGAGAGCATACTGATATTACCAAGATTCAAATAGGTCGTTGATTCAAATGAATATTTGGATGATGTAGAAATACCTTTTATTGTAGCAAGCAATGACCCCTACAAATTGCAATGTGCATTTGGTACAGAAAGGACAAGTGGTTTCCATATTTTTGCCATTGAATTGGTATTTCAAAGCAGGTTTAGAAAATGGATGAAATCACTAACAGATTAGGTCAGTTGTGTTACTTTACTGTGTTTTAAATTTGTTGGCACAAGTTTCATTGCAAAGATTGTTAATTTATCATGTATTAGGTTTGTGTTTAAATTGTATGGTATCTAGTATTGTATTAATGTAACTGATAAATTGCATGGTAATATGAAATTTCAAAATCACAAATCATCAAACTTGTCTGGTGCATTAAAGTATGTGGGGAATCTCATTAACAATGGTTTCAACTTGAGAGAGTTGAATCTCAGCTGCTGCAGTTTCATGTATCATGGCTAGTCTTCCTGCCTAAGCCCTTCACCTACCAGCTTTGCAGTTGTCAGTTGGTATTCTCATGGCTCAGGTAATGTTGTGTGGTGATGATTGACTAGAGTCTCTGACTATTTATGGAGATACAACCCTTGGCTGTCTGAACACAACACGTGTAATATTTCTTGGCAGTTTTTCAGTTGTGCTGAATATGCTTGTTCTGATGGTTCAATTTGTTTATAGGGTTCAGTGAAAGAAGATTTAATTTGCCCTCCAATTGAGGAAGTTCAACAGAAAGGTTTGTATGTTTGAATTCATATTTGATATTGTTGGTTTGCTGTGATGAAATCCACTTTCTTTATTTTCTGACACCTCTTGTTTGAGTGTTAATAAACACAATGAGGTTAACTTTTGTCTGAGCAAACTTCAATTTTATCTCAATGGTTTCAAATTTTAACCACCTTTCACCTTTTTAATTTGTCATGTTTGTTTCAGTTTAAATGACACAATGATGCTTTGATTCACCTGTTCAAATTTCAATTATGCAAAGGTTTGTTGGTAACTATCACATTTTCTAAATGTCAGTAAAGCAAATGGACATGATGACATTTTTTCCCCATCACATCGACAATGATGATAATATGCTGATCTTATAGCCAGTATAGTCTGATCCATTTGCCGCTTTTCTTTTTATATCTTATTCAGATAAAACATGTGTAGACACAATTAAAATATTTTTTGCTGTATATGTTTATAAAAATTTCATCTAACAGTTGATATTTCAATGAAAAGTAATCAAATTGGAAAAGTGTAACAATTATGCTTGGATTTTGTAGGCTAATGTTTTTCCTATTGTTTACAGCTCATCTATTTCTCAGATGACATCAGCAAACATTGGAATTTCAGAAACTTTTGTGAGGTATGTAAAGTTAGAAATGTAACAGGCATTCAAAAGATTTTAACTATCCATATTCCATCTCATTTAGGTAATGTGCAGTTCTCAGTGGATGTGATGACTTTTTTCCCCAACATATCGACAATGCTGATATTGTGCTGAATTTTTAGCCAGTATTACCTGATCTGCTGAGATATTCATCAAAGCATTAATTCTTTCTCCAGGATACTTCTTGTTTGAGTTTCTTGAAGTTGTGGAGTCATGCTTATTTTTCAAGCTCTGCCATAATTCCACACAAATTTAAGTGATAACAATGTTTTCATTTTTAAGATATTGGCAAAAGATAAAGTTTGTTGAAAGCAGAGCAGAGCAATGTAAGTATTTATCTGTGTATTTGCAACTTTGATGACAGTGATGAATGGTGGTATGCCAGTTCTGCTTCTGAACAAATTGATGAGCTCTTTCCACCTTTTTTGTCTGAGTCATTATTCAGCCCTGCCCAATTGTATCTCACACATTTTGCAATTTGTCACTTTTTAAAAAAGTAATTAGTTAGTTAAATTTGCTTTATCTGCCTTTACAGGTTCAGCAAAAGATATGAAATGCAAATTGCTGAAATGGTGTTGGAATAGTGGCACTAGTAAGTAATTTGTTTATTTGATAGGAACTTTGGAGTCAATGATGAATACTTGCTACAGTTATCCCTGACTTAGTAAACCATGCTGAGAATGTCACGTCAGCCTGAGACTCCATTCCTTATTTTTACTTGACTAAGCAATATCACTTTTAAGGTACAATGTTAAATTGTGTAAGGATGTTAAATTTTTTTTGTAAAATTGATTCTCTTTCTTGCCATAGGAAAAAGGTGTTTGCTACTTGTAAAGATGGTGACACTGATGACAGAAGTAAGTGGTCGTGTTCCTTACTGAATTTTTTTTAATTCCAGTAATTTCTTTCTCAGTGAAATTTTGAGAAATTTTGCCAAATTTTTAGGTTTTTCTCATAGAGTTTCTCATAAAGTTATAGCCTCTGTAGTTATTTGCTTTCAAATTGACCCCAGTTGCTTAACCTGCTCTATTTGCCAATGCCACGTGATGATGCAATCCCAATTCGCAGTTTCCACCAGATGACATGCGTGTCTAAATGATGGTTTATCTTCCATGGATGTCTGATGGCATAAGTTAGACAATCATTTGCTCTTTTGTCACAATGCCTTCTTTACTATCTCAAAGGGTCCTAAATATCATGCATTGTTTTTGGTAGGTCAACTTTCTTTCTGGTCGCTGCTGGAAGCAAGAATCTATCTTCCATTTGATGTGTTGATGAAGAGATTTTCCATGTCTGAAGAGTCATCTGTGATAGAGTCCTGACAATTTTATTTGAAAATTTATCAATATCAGTGCTTCAAATCCTTGTGTTTCCTTTGTGCTTGTTCTGCCTACTTTGGTAGTTATTTGCATGGTATGGTAATAATACAGCATGTGATTTTGCCTCACAATGTGCCTATACTTTGAAGTATCAGTTATGCAGACTGAAATCAAAGTCATCCTACTGCCTTGTTGTCTACTTGCTTTGATAATCTTGTTCATGTGTGTAGTGTAACCTATATTGGGAAATGGCAATCCTTTCCAACAATAGTCACTGCTTTGGGTGTTTCATGGACACTGTTTGTATTGTGTAACAAATTTTGAGCATTAAAATTGCAACTGTCTTGGAAAGGTGCCTATTTCAAAATGTCTTGTGGACTAAGAAATTTGTGTATGCTAGCTACCTGTCTCTGCATATTTGAGGGCGATTGTTCTCTACAATTGATGAATGTGTTACATTGGAAAATTCATAAACTTTGACATCATAGTAGGTTAATTGATCTCTGAACAAGTCTGTATAGGTTGTAAAATTCCTCTTCCACAAGGTCTGGAGTACTTCATTTTGTCGTGAGAATTTAAAAAGCAGTTTGTGAGCATTTGTTGGCCTAATGTATTGCTACCAGGCAAGACACGTTCTTCACTTCTTGACATTACTTATACTACAGGTATTTCAAATTTGTTGGCACAATTCAGCTTTAAATTTCTGTTGATTTTCCAACAGATTAAACTCGACACTGTCACATCTCATTGTAGCAGGATAACTTAAACATCACTTTCAGTTGTTAGAGGAAAATAAGCTAAGGAAGATGGTGTTCGCAAAGAAAGTTAATATGGGTTAATTCTGTACACGACTCTTGATGAGCGAATATAAGTAATTGTTTACTTTAAAATTCCTGACTCAGAATTCCAATAATATGTGGTTGTCGTGACTCTTTGTAATCTTAGCTTTAAACCAGAAGTTCGAGAACACTTGCTGGTATTAAAATGCATAAGTGTTTCATGAGATGCATGTCTCTTTCTCGAAATTTAGTAATAAATCAACAAATTAATTGATCGAAAGTGTAAAATTTCGCGATTAGTACTAGGTGATTACATACCCTCTTTTTTTATAAGAATCAGTAAATTTAAGTTCAGTCTGACTGTTTTTATTTTTTTCGAAAATCTGAGGCTGAACTGTTCTCAATTTGTTCCTTATTTAATAGGGTGTAAGCAGTGCGAGTGCTAGCTTTTTCGCTGTAGGGTGGTGTTCAGGCCTCATTTGCCAACAAAGTGAGTGAGACAGCTTTAATTTGGTGACAAATATAAATATTCACCGAAAAAGCACCCACACATCGCTAATTCATTCATTCTGTTAATGCTAAATGTCCCTCCTAATAATTTTGCAATATTTCCCCAAAACGGTATTCATAATTCTGCGTGTTTCTTCAAATGGTACCCATGGTTCCGCACAAATTTTAAGAACTGATACCGATAATTCAGCACTTTTAAGGAAAAAGGTACCCCTAAATAATGGCACGTCCCCATACCTTCAAACAAGTTAAGGTACCCCACCCCCCAAGGATGTTCAATCTTTGACCATACACTTGACAGTCCATTCCTTGGGGTTCTCAATTGTTGCTACCAGTGGCGGACTGGCTACCATTTGACCCACCGAGAAAATCAACCAAAAGGGCGCCAATAGGTGCCAAAGTTGCTCCACTTTTTTAAAACCCTTCGCAATGGACAACAGAAAAGGGAACTAGGTTGGAAACAAAACTGGGCCCCGGAATAAAATTCAAATCACCCTTCTAATAATGCCGGAACATGCTCCATGGAGTCTGCGCGCAGGCTAGCTCCATGTTGAAATTTTATTAACAATTGGCATTGGCATGAAGAAACTCTCAGGTACTTTGACTGTATTTGAAACGTCCACACAGCTGTTAAATTTTTTAATTCAAATTAATGTGATTCAGCAACATTTTAATTACAATATACTCAAACTAATCAAAATATTGAATAGGTTGCCTAGGACACTGGGAGAAGCAAAATGTTTTCGATCCCAGTGCCTTGATACTTGATGTTTTTGGTGCAGATTACTTCATGAGGCTTTCAACAGGGATTTCATTAGCTTTAAGGTGAAATTTATCCATAAATACGGAAAATATTTAAATAATTGTTTCCAAATCAGACTTGATATGAACTTTAGGGGTAATCCAGATAAAAGCCTCATCCGCACTTTAAGTAAGGGAGTAATTTGAATTTGTAATATCTACAGAAGAAAACAGAACGGCAACAGCAAGCATTAATTTGTAAAAATGAAAAGTAAAGAACAGAAAGAAGAAAATAAAAAGGAACAGTAGGGTTGGAGATATAGATTAAAAGTTTTATTATCAGTTTTAGTGCTAGGAATTTATTGGTTATTAAGTAATAGCCAATTTTTTGGAATGTTTCCAAAACAGGGTTTTATTTGGTTCAAAATATTTTTAGGGATCAAATGATGTATTGTTTTCATGTGATATTTAAATTTTGAAAGCTGGACTAAAGCCCATTTTTCAGTTAGTGAGACACTATCTTCCAAGATTTTGCAAATAAAGCAACTTCTGCAGCCTAGGAGATGAGATTCCTTCGATTAAACCTAAAATCTTCAGAAATTCAACGAAATATTCTTCATTCTCATCAAACGGTAGTTTATAAATTTTTTAAAGTTTTGCAGCATTTCTTTGAAAAAAAAAGAGGGAATCTAGCTCCCGCTAGCCTAATGACTGTGTTGCTCCTGCCTCTACGCTTCAGTTACAATCATTTACAAAATATATGATGCCAGTACATTAGCATATAGAATTATGATCATGTATCTAAATTTGTTTAAAACTGTAGACTTGTTCGAGAGATTTCTGATAACATACTTTGGGCAAATGGATCCTGCTGCCATCACTGAACAAAATTAAGATTTTGCAGATTGATACGCTCCTTTTGTATAACAGGACTATTATTCAAGCGAGGCAACACAGGGAGTATTATGCTATCAAAATAGGCAAATTTTCAAAAATCCCCTTCCTGCTAAATTACCATTTAACAAGTTTTGACAATTTTCCATAATGACAGTAAACGTTTGTATAAATCCCCCTTCCCCATCGTTTACGTAATATGTGAACATTCGCATACTCAATAGCCACACATCGATAATTTTATCCAGTTACTAACAGTCTGACTCAAAAGAGCACAGGGCTCAGTTTAATTTTTCTAAAGTGCAAGCCCTCTCAGTTATTGGATATCAGACACTAGAAATAATTTACATTAGTCGTAAATGAAAGAACAAACATGGTTTGTCGTAAATCTGTTTCACACAAAATTATTAGTCATTAATCAGTTGGCAAAACAGTCTACTAGTTAGTTGGTAACGGCTCCTACTACACCCTCAACAGATATCGGATTAATTAAAGTATTGCGCATTTGCTTGAATGAATTACAAGCTAGCCAGGTTTGTAGCGGGGGTAGGCCTTCTGGCTGCTACATAGTTTCTGCTGTCAATATGACCTTCCGCATAAAAAAAACAAAAAGCTTTTAGTAAGTTGTAAAAGGTTTGCTTTTTCCATTCCGTTTTTAAAAAATATGTTCTTTTCAAGAATTTCAGAAAATCTTGCAGAATTTTCTTATCAAACTTTAGTCTTCAATTAATTTTACAATAAAGGGAATCGGGAATCTTTGCAATTAATTTTAATATTGCTCAACATAAAGCTAAACTTTGTATGCAAACGTATTTTTTATAAAAGGTCAATTGATGACTGTAATCAATTTTAGTTCTGTGCGAAGATTATTTGCCTTTCGAAAGATTTCAAGTTTTTGGAAAAAAGTGAGGCAAAGGGTGTACCATAGACTATGCTCTTTAGCAGTGTAAGTACACAAACAAATTAATACAGTTTAACATTAAATAATAGCCTTGCAGAAAATGCTCCATGGTTTATCTGAAGCGCATAACAAAAAATGCCGTGAATAAACTGGTTTTCTGTGATTTTCTAGGGCCTCAACTTCAACATGTCTCACCACTGCTTACATTCACCATAAGCAAGTAAACTGGCTCCTTCTTTAACTTGAGGTATTTCTTCAACTTTTTCAAAAGTCAGATTCAAGTCATTTACGGAAAAATTTCTAAACCCAATGTCAACCACTTTTGAATCATCACAACAAATATATGAAAATGTAATGGAAATATGATAATTGCGGATATGAAAAGTTTCAATGTTGGGAAATGTTAACTCAAGCCAGTATATATATGACTTCGTAAGCATAAATCTGCTTGCTCTTTTTGCGGGTGATTATTGGATATCCGACTGAAAAATCTAAATGCTTAGAACCTTCCCGCTTCAAAATAAGACCATATGCAAAGATGTGCACAGCAATCAATGTAATCAGTACAGTTCCCAGGCACAGTATAGTTTAACAAAGATATATTATGCCTCCTGGTATCTTTAACTTTACTTTGGAAGTATCACCTAAAAATCGTTGTAGGCACCTTCCAAATTAACGAAGTTCTAATGGAAGACAAAGAAAGTGTAAAACATAGTTTTAATAGCATAAACCTTTATAAACCGTATCCTTAAAGTTATGAATTCTTACTTTATCTGAGATTAAAGTTATTTTCATGTAAGTCAAAGCACATTAATGTCCATTTCGTCTGGAGGGGACGATCAACGATACTCGAAAATGTGTCAGATTAAAAAAACCCTGGCAAAACACGACCAAACATTTCACTATTAAACGACTAATCATGGTAAAGATTTCACTCAACTTCTATTTATTAAAATTTTAAGTAAAAGTTTAATCGTTTGGCTCCAGGGTTTGCATAGTTTGATCGGGTTGAAAAATGTTAAGCGTTTTAAGTGTTGTTTTGCGTATTTAAAGTCGTTTTATCTGCAATGATGTTATCTGCGCCAGGTGACCTTTTCCTTTTCTTTTCCATATTTGCCCACTCTACTTCAAATAATTGAGTTTCCTCTTCTTCCTTTACATAATCATTCTGTACTGGTTCATTAAAAGGATCTTGCGCAACCGGCATGCTTTGCGAC